AATACTTAGGTCCAAAAGAAGGCTAGTCTTGACTACACAGCTTATGCAGCAACTGCTTCACCCTCCTTCTGCAGCAGTTCTTTCTGCAGATGCTAGCTCATGCTATGAGAGTGTGGCTTACTTTGCATGTAGATTATCTCTGGGTGATGCTTGCAGTGCAATATCCTGCTCCGGAAGTGATGCTCAAACTCCATTGCCTTCTGACAGTGTAAACCTGTAAGAGTTGTCTGAAATTTGTGTAAAATTTTCCTTTTAAGGCAATGGATTGATGATTGGTGGAATTTGCATTATTCATTGCGTGCTAACATTCAGTCTTCATTATATGATTTATAGTTTTCCCGAGAAGCTTAGAACACGGGAGAAAGTCAGCAATCAATACTACTCAAAAGTTGTGGAAGACTGTATTGATAAAGCAAGGAGTCTGGAAAATGATTTGTTGAGGTAGCCTCCACAACCGTCTCCTTTCCTTCACTGTTCACACCACTGTTTCTGATTACTAGTTTTCACATTGTAGTTAACTTTAATTTCTAAGATACTTATTTCTTGTCATCTTATTGTTCTTATGTATGTTCTCTTTCTCTCCCTTTCTTTCTCACACTCACTCTGGTGTAATTCTTCCACTGATGCAGACTGGACAAGAAAAGCTCAATCTTAGACTTGAGAGTGGAAAGCCAGGATCTTGAGAAGTTTTCTGTCATCAATCGTTTTGCTAGGTTTCACGGGCGGGCACAAGGTGAGGGGCCGGAGGCCTCATCGTCTTCTGATGCTCAAAAATCCTGCCCCCAAAAATATGTTACTGGACATCGAGTGCCTAGAAATCTGCCAGACAGGGTACAATGTCTTTCACTTTGATTATTAATTTATTATTTTTCCCTCCTCAGCCATTTATCTCCACTTCCCTTGTGATCCCCGTGTCCATTATCTTTCAACTTATTTAATGGGACATGGCTCGCAACAGCAGTCACACAAATCGGAATGTAGGAGAAGAATGAACTCTAGATTGTCTCCTTTAAAAGCAAAGGCGACTTTTAGTTCTTTTCACCATGGGCCATTGATGCCATTTTTAAGAAATATAAGATGGTCTCTGTATACTCCGAAAGTTTAGAAAGGAACTGTGATGCCCCATCAATTTTTTGGCTAAGGGGGGAGGATAGAACCGCAGTCCCTTTACTCAAAATTGTACACACTTCAATAATTTATGTAATCATGTATTCTCGTTCATAATCTTAAGCATGGGAAATCCATTGGTTGAGGTTTTGCAACTGGGATTTACGAGAAGAGGGACTTTGGTATTAAGTTCTGAAATAAGTTATAAGAGAAATTTTGCCTTGATTTTGGTTTGGTTGTGTAGAAGTCTGGGTAGTTTATGACGTCCACAGAAGGCTTGATAAAATGGGGTAGTTTAAATTCTGCTGCCTGTTCGTGTGCCACTAGTTTGAGAATCAAAAAATTACATGAAGTCGTTGTTAGCTTTGAGTACTGCATGCATTATGTTGGTTGCGGCTTTTGTTTTACTTTCATGGCTGATTTTCGAACTCCCATTTTCTCCCCATGCACGCCTTCCTACGGTTCTACCCTCTAGATTGAATAAATGAAATGAGAATCAGGGAAAGAAACAAGGGCAGGAGTGCGGTGGAAGAAAACGGGAGTGTGACCCTTTGCTAATATGGCCCCTCTTTGCTAGATGTTTTACTTCCTTTTGTCATTTCGTAAGTGTTCTCAAATTTAAGGACGTTGTCATTTCTGAAAATGCTGTAGGCAAAGTACCTTGTTTGCTGAGTTGATGCTGTTCCCTCTTGTACTTCTTGTAGTCGTTTATGTGTTAAGCATTTGTTATTCCGCAATGTCGAATGACTCATTGTAGCCCGGAAGGATTCTTAAATGAGTAGTTGAATGGCTACATAACTTTCAGTGTACCTTGTGTATCTTAGAAAAACTAATGAAAAGAACTTGAAAATTTTGAGTTTTAACGAAAATGACAAAATAAAAGATAAAGTGAATAGTACCAGGATTGAATTTTTAGTGTAAAAATGTGATTTTTCATTTAAGTAAACAGTATCAAAGACTTTTCGTTGAAGTTCCTTTTTATCTTAGCTTCTAGCTGAATATTAGGCTTTGGATGACGGGTTTTGAGATTTTTCGAGGGATATACGTTTTCGAACATGCATCTCGTAATGTCTCTCATGTTTTGATGTATTCCGACATTACCAAATATATGTTGCTTTGACTTGGGCACTGCATGGAGGATAAAGAAAAAGATGCGCATTGCTTGGAGCATGTTTTAGGAATTCATGGCTACCGTCGGTTGTCGGAGCTCCGAACCATGACCAATGACGAAGTAGTTTGTGCACTATGAATTGTTATGTTCAACAAATTCCTTCACCTATAACGGCCATTAGCCTGAAAAAAGAAGCTACATTCGACTGAAAAATGCAGTGCGGCAATCTGAACACTGGTTCTCAGACAATTCCTAGCGAAAAACGGAATAAAACTCGAAGCACAGGGTGTGTTAAAATCAAACAAAGACCAGCAAAGTTGCAAAATCTCACTACTATCAGTTTTCAGCCATTGGATCGATAAACTATTACGCCAAGGATTGGTGGTATTGCATTCGATCTGCACTGACTTCCATCGTAAAGCCCGTTCTTTCTTTTCCATTGGTCTTTGGAGGGCACCGAGACTCGCAGAATTGAGCTTCTTGAGTATTCCTCAAGAATATTTCTTTGATTGCAAGTAATAGCGGACGCTTTGGAGGAGCATCAAATCTTCACCCATAGCAGCAGCTCATGAGAGCTTGACATGCATTTCCTTCCCGACTTCGGCATATATTTCATCCACCCTTCTGAAAAGAAGAAACTAATTAAGCCTCTAAAATAAAAAAATTTGTACAGTTTTGCGGTTCAAGAAACATCTTTGATAGTATGCAACGGCGAAAAGTATTGTAAAAAAAAGTCTAAAATGCTTTGAATAAACTGGCTGCTGGTTACATTGTGTAGCTGGCATATTAGGTTGCTGATCATCCAATCTTGGATAAAATGGCTTACAAGTTTCCTCAGAATATAAGTTGCAGATACTCAAATCACCAAATTCTCCGGGATAAAGCTCATCCGACCAAAGCGAAGTGTCTACTGCTGGAACTTTGCAACTAACAGATAGTAACTCCGCCACAAGCAAACGCTGCATACAGGCAAGGGCGGAGCGAAGATTTTTTTCTTGGGTGGGCTAGCTGAAAATACTACCATAAAATTAAATGTTTATTTTTTTGCTTATATAAAATTATATAAAAATCAATATAAAAGAACAACAATAGAATATAAATTATTCTCAAAATCATAATCTTAACCAATAAATTCAAGGATCATATAAATAATTAACCTACTAATTAAATCAAGAATAAGTAAATAAAGAGATTAAAAACGTGCCAAAGGTGACATCCATTGGAAAATTGCAACGGAAAGTCAAGAATTGTGGAGATAGGGATTTAATTGTGTATTTAAAGAACTTTATTAATCTTTTCTTGAGTAAGAAGCACAGAAGCTAAATTACATAGGATAAATGATCTTTTTCTTTAAAGAATAGAATAAAGGGGGACTGAAGATAGAACTAATTTATAATTTTTAGCAAAAAAACGTATTATTTACTACCTCTCCTCTACTAAATATACATTAAATAATATTTTGTATTGAAATTGAGTAGGCTATAAGCATGATTTTACAAAAGAATAGATCTATTCACAAACCCATTTTGCTTCCAACATACCCTTATTAATATTTTGTTAGTGATCATCTTCAATTCATTCGATCCGAACAACCGGCAATTAAGAGAGGTGTGTAAGAAGTAAAAATGAATGTATAGATAGCACTACCCTTACAGAAAACCTCCCTGGCTACAGCTCACCTTAACCTTGTAGGTGGCTGCGCCATTGTCTGCGCGGCGGGTCTCCATTGCCTCACCGCCGATGTTGTTAATGGTAACGGTAAAGGGTTTCGGCTTGGGTTTTGGGGAGTTGGGTTTGCTGGGTTTGGAGAATAAGGAGAAGAAGAAGGATGAGCAAGAGCAGCTAGGTCTGCCATTGCTATAGCGAATTGGGCGGGTGAAGAACAGAAGAACAGCTGCGAAAGGAGGATAAATTGGTAATTGTATGGATCATTTTAATGTCAATTCTACCCTTGGAGGAGAAGCTGTTTTTTCTTTAATAAGTCTGCATCAACATATTAATATTGTCTCAACTTAATCACCTATTACTAAATATTTTATTTTATCACAAAACGTCTCAGTAATCCAAGCTATCTGATTTAGGACTTGTTGAAAGAATAAACTAATATGATACTATGATAAACTTGCATACCAATATGATCCATCACCAACATCACCGATATTGTTTTAACTTAACCACTTATTAAGTGTTCAATTTTATTATAAAAGGCCTTAGTAATGTCAGGTTAAAAACTCTCACTTAATAATTGTATATTACTTTGTTTCGACAAAAATGAAATTGTATATTATTTTGTTATATACTCAATGTAAGATTCTATTCATTGCTAAAATTCTAATTTACTAACTCATTTAACCTAGTTTGCATATAAAATAATTCATATAAAACAAAATAAAATTGATTTCTTACGATTTATGTGATTCCTAAACTTATATGAAACAATTTATTTGTTCTCCAATTCCGTATAGAAAATAACTTTAATAAAAATTCGAATTTCTCCTCAATTCAGTTCAATTTTGGTTAATCTTCAATTCAAAACTTTTAAGAAAACTAATGAAAAAGGTTTGAAAACTTTGAGTTTAACGATAATGATAAAATAAAAAGTAAAGCGAATAGTACAAGGATTGATTTTTTAATATAAAAATATGATTTTTCGTTAAAATAAACAGTACAAAGAATTTTTCGTTAAAGTTCTCATATTTTTTTTTAGGCCTTGTAGGAGTAAACTCTGTTTTTCTTTACTTTTGGGCTACATACAATTACACAAAAACCATAGACGACCTAATAATTTAACTCCTTGTTTTCCTCTTCACATCCAACGTTCCAAAACTCGCGCGAGAGCTAGAGATCCATCGGAACACTCGCCCGAGAGAGAAAAGAGAGATGTCATCGACGGTGAACGACCCGCGCCAGCCCTCGGCGGCGAAGCGCTACGTGCCGTCCGCGGTGGCGCCGCAAGATCTTCCAGTGGATTATTCCGGTCTGATCGCCGTCGTCTTCGGCCTCGCCGGCGTCATGTTCCGCGTCCGTACTCTCTCTCGATTGCAGATTTGCTACTTTTAATTGGAATTTGCTAATATTTGAAGTGTGATTAATTATTTGAATTATGAATTTGCAGTACAAGTTGTGCTCTTGGGTTGCGATCATATTCTGCGCTCAATCGCTGGTGAACATGAAGAACATCGAGAACGACCTCAAACAGATCTCCATGGCCATGATGTAAGTTCCCAATTTACTTTTTACTGAATTACTTTAGTAAATTTCCAAATTTGTGCATGATTTACGAATTTACCAAAGCATTTGGGATTCGGACATGAAAGTAGTGTGTTTACAACAACATTTTTCGAGATTTGGAAGCTAAATAGTTTTTCAGATAAACATAAGTGCTTCTGACAATGTTGTTCAGTAAAAGTTAACTGCTTTTTGAGTTAGAACACCTAGACCAGAAGTGCTCTCTAGAAGAAGCACCTACTTCACGAACCACTTGGATTTTTATCAAAAAAATTTACTTGCATTGCATCTAATAAAAGCGGTTTCAGTAAAATCGCTTATGATCAGAAGTGCTTCCTAGAGAAGCATTTCTAAACAGACGCTCCGTTAGGCTTAAGTGCTCCTTGTATTCACCATAATTTATGGGTTTATTTTATTATTCTCGAATGGATGTGATGGGATTTAAAATTTTGTCATGGTTTATGTTCTGAAATCTTTCCTGTTTCCTGTGTTTTTTTATCTCAAATACCAGGTTTGCTATTATGGGATTGGTAACCAACTACTTCGGACCTGCTCGACCGGGGACACAAAAGAGTTGAAATTGCTCGTCAGAGACTTGAGATGTAATACTGTGCGTTTTCGCTTTATCTGATTATCGTTATGTTTTTTCTAGATGGAAACCATTGTTTAAGTTTGGTGTCATCAATTTGAAGGGATACTAAACTGCTTCTTACATCAATTCGATTGAAAGTCTTAGTTATGTCTTGGTCTGTGCAGTCAATCTTTTGTTTGTTGCTTTTTTGTGCTAATGCTCCCTTCGATCTCAATGAGACTATTTAGAGGCTTACGGCCCTACTATGATGAAACTGGTTGCTATAGCGTTCCGAATAAGAGATGAATTATATCAAACTAACTGGAAGTTTGTGTTTTCTCAATGTATGATTGGAATGCATATTCATCAAACCATTGCTTTGGTCGGGTTCATGTGCATTTTTTCAACGAATTATGTCAAACTAACTGAGAAGAAGATGTTTATGTAAGTTCCCCAACCGTGATAGGACGTAGTTGTCACAAATCTTGTAGTTGTCACAAATCTTATAGCAGTCTGGAAGGTGTGGCTGGCCTTCTGTTATATTGTTCTTCTTTTGTTTTTTGTTCACTGTATTGGATGATAGTTTATAGCCAATTATTCTTGTACTGTAAACCAATTTTCTTCCCTTTGTGCCGAATCGTCCATTAGATATCAACAAAATGAAAGTCTATGGCCATCTCTTGATGTGCCGATCCCATGAATTTCGAGCTTTCAAAATAGTTTTCTGCATTAAATCTGGAAGAGAAAATCTACATCAAAGATGAATGACTGCTATTAGGTATTATGTATGTTCTTTCATGCGAAGATGATGTTGGTTTTTAGCATAACCAACGCTGAAAATGGATGAATGCTTCTCTGAAACTAATGGTTTTTTAGCCAAAATAGTCTTTAAGATTAGCATAACTCCTCACTTTGGTCCCTGAGATTTAAAATCGATAGAAGCGGTCCCTAAGATTGTTCATCGTCAATCATTTTGGTCATTCTGTTAGAAATCTCTGTTAAATCGATCGTAATTTTGTCAAATCAACCCCTCCCTTTGAATTGGTGGTTTCTTTAATTTCACGAAGAGTATTTACAGAATGACCAAAATGAATGTCGGTGAACAATTTCATAAACCAAAGTGATGAGTTATGCAATCATATGAATCATTTTTGATAAAAAAAACCAGAACTCATATATATTATTCGTGAGCTACGGCTTCATTTCTCTGGTTGTTTTGTGGTTTGTACCAGAGTGGTTATGCTTTTCATACAGCTTATTAGTTTCCAGTGTTTATAGGTTTGAAGTTTTATTGTCTTGAGGAGGTGCCGGGATCGTTTATAAAATTTGGTCGTCTGCTGTCGGTAGTCGGGGAAAGGGACAGTTGTTACGTTTGTTTTGTAAAACCGTGGTTGTCTAAATCGGATTTTTAGCGACGAATCATTGAAGCGTTGCTTAAAAGTACCTTTTGTAGCGGAGAGTGACAATGAAACTCGTTACTAAAGACCTTTCAACGCGCAGGAAGCCCTAAAATGGTCGTCAAAGTAGGAAGCGGTCCCAAAACACTGGAAATAGTCGATAAAAATGAGAAATTGTCATTGAAACTCAGTAGAAAACTTTATTTTCCTTCCCACAAAGTACTACAAGGAATTTAGTAAACCAAAATCTGATAATACAGATGCTTCTTCTATTGATTTAGGAGCGATTGTGATTCTACTTTTGAGTTCGACTTCCACCCATAGTTTGAATACACTCACGATAATGCGCAATATACAGGGCTAAATCGCGAATGCAATAAAGCCCAAAAAAAAATGACCGGAGAGTTTGAGTGAAAATTTGGAAAGCTTGATTGAACAAATGGAGCAAAAAAATACCTCACAAAATTGTAGATATATAAAATAGGACCTAGATGAAAGGAGAAATAAATAAATCATCTTATTACATTAATAAAATGCTTCCTGCAGCCTTATTTCTAACATTTAAAGAAAAAGTGTTGAAGTATTTTCTCTATTATTTAATGAACAAATTATAAAAGAATTCCAAAATTTGCAAAATCCTCATAATCCAGTGTAATCCGTTCCTCTTATCATTCGGCCCAATATCCACTTTCTTCTCCGAACTGCATCCAAAAGTAGTAGAATTAGTGTGCGCTATCAAATCACTTGTAACAATAATAAGCAACTGATTCTAATGATCTGGTTTTGATCGATCTTAACAGGATGATTATGAATTTTTTTATTTCGGGGTAGTTGTGGCCTCTTGGGCAAATCGATGACTGCATCTTTGATGCACTTGCTGGTAAATCTAAGAATTTCATTGAAACTACAATGATGTTATTCGTTTAGACATTTCGTCGAATACTTGGTGTACTTGTTGTCGTCAACCGAACCATGTTGCGCTGTCGACATAAGCCGAAACAACCTACTGAGTGCCATCGATAATTTGTCGAGTGCTCTCAACGCAACTTGCCGTTGAGCAAGTATTACATCAAACACTTGGCGGGTACACATACCAAATATTCAAGGATTATCGGAAGATCTTCACATGTATATTTTTCGAACTCTATGATCCTGACCACATTGGTCACAACGTAATATAAAATATAATAAAATAAATAGGCTTTATTTTTTACCAAAATAAGTCATAATCATTGCAGTGCCCCATGAAAGTAGAATACGTATGGTTATATTTCGTCTTTTACCTTGGTACTTTTCTTCTGTGTTAGACTCGACGTGATCATGTTCATGTAAATAGTACTCCACCAATTTCCAATGTGTTCTCTTTGCATGCGAAGCACTTCTTCCCGAGAAGTAAGTGAGAGAGATCTTGGAGGCAAAGAAATGTCCATCCTCATCGCAGATGGGAGTTTCTGATCCGTACTTGGGTTTCCAAAACCCTAAACCATTTCCAACTACTCGAATACTGCTTCTGCTGGTTTGGGATGCATGACCGCTTTCACCGTGATGGATGAAGAAAAACCACTCTCTCTCCCCGCAGGAGAACGTCACTGCATGCATGCAAGTAAGAAGATACAAAATTATATACTCGTCCATATAAATTATAAAAGTTGAAACCTCGAAAAAAAATGAAAAATACTACTGGAACATAGATAACTAGGGTTTAATCTACAGATATCTTCAATGCATGACATTTGATTGAAATATACAGTGCGGAAAAATGCTATGGAAATCAAATTTTTGGATCATTTTTTATAGATTGCATGATGTAACGATTAATGATTGAACTTCTTTAAATCATATTTAAAAATTTAGTCTTTCTAACATTACCCTACAACCATGCAAGCATGCACTCAAGGAGTTAAGTTTTGTTTAATTTGCTTTCGCTATGGTTATGATTTGGTGCTATATATTTCATATACATAGTTAAAAAAGAGTGCAACGTAACTCAAAGTAACTAAAATATGGCATTAAATTTAAAAAAGTTGAAAATATATACTCGAAGTTGTCCATCACATTCACAGAAGTTAACTTTTCGTGCATTTTTTTTCAAATGGAAAAGAAAATTTTCGTCCAGTTTGTATTTGATTTTTTTATATTAAAGCTTATGTTTAAAGCATTTCATTTCATATATACGTGGTATATATATGCGAACATATATTTTCCAAAAACTAAGTCCTCGCCTATTTTTCTCCAAAAAATTCCTTTCTTTGTTTTGTTTGTTCATATTCTCTTTTGTATTTTTTTCAATGTGAAATTCGTACTCTCAACAACAATAATCTAAAATTTGTTCTAATTAAACTTAGCTTCAACAATAGTTAATCACTAAGTTACCTCGATCAACATATAACTCATGGATCTGATCGGACCTTATAACACTTCTAAGAATATATATTATGTCATTCGTATACATACATATATATACACACACACTTAGCTAATATAGGGATTCGACCTAAGAACAGAATGCCTGACGCATCCGAACTTGAGACCAGCGATGAAAAATAAACTTTAGCTAACAAAACTGTTAATTCTAAAAGAACCAATAACAATCATAAATAAATACATACGTACCTAGATTCTTAGGATGGTTGCTGTAGAATTGAGCCGCATCGATCTCTCGGATTTCCTGAGCAGCTGGTACAGGCCGATACAACACCTTGTTCATCAGATAGTGAGTGACCAACTCTTCGTCTGTTGGCATAAACCTAAATCCGACCGGCAGCTGATTCGAGCCAATGATCATTTCGGAGTCGGTTTAGTCGACGGCGGACCAAATTAATATGTGACCTAGCTTGGAAGAAATGATGATCCGGAGATTGTTGGATCGAGGAAATAGTTCTGGTGTTGCACAAAGAAGTCAAGTAAACTTGAGCTGAAATACTGATGCATATTTATAGACTAGATTGTGTAGGTGGCAACGTTTGGAAGTAGTGGTGGTAATTGAATCCTAGTAGAACTTGGATTTTAAAGACCATTTTTTCTCTTAATTGTGTTATCATTTTCTTGTGTCTGCATATATATATACTTGGAAGATTTTGAGCCTAGAGTGGTGTTTAGGTTTTGACTCTTCTTTTCAGTGGGATGGATATGTATCTTGAAAAAAGAGACCAAGTCAATCAAGAATTTGTTTTACATTAACCATAAATTAAAAATAAAAAGAAACCACCACGCAATGACTCAGTAGTTTGGATGAATTTCAAATGCGTATTATACGTAGCATATTTTGGGTTTGATTCTTAGCACGTGTAAATTACACGATGGTGGCTAGATAGAGGCTAAAATGCCTCTGTGACTGCCACGACGAAGCTACCAGTTAGTCCAATGTTTTTTAAAAAATAAAATAAAAATAAAAGTTGCAAATATAATCAACCATGACCACTAGTTCATGTTTTTTTTTTTTATAAAAAAAAAAAAATCTCAACAATACGAGGAAATTTTGTTGATAACTTGTTCACGAAAGGATTTTGTCTATGTGGAGGCATGAAATCCATGAAAAAAGAAATCCTACCAATATGTAGCTAAACACGAAGTTTTAAATTTTATTTTAGGAGTGTTATTTATTAAATCACATTTTACTTGCTAGCGCATACGATGTTGATCACCTTTCTAATGCAGTTAGGTCTTACACACACACACGTGTGGTTCACCTCTAGTAGATTGTGCATTGAGCAAAATGCTAAGACATTCTTTTTCATTTTGTAGCCCCGATATAACTGTGTCGGGGCTGAATATGTTAACAAATAATACGATTTATCACACCCTTTATATATTGTGGGATGCCAAACATCGACCAAGGGCTCAAGGTGGTTATTTGTGACTTTCATAAGGCAATATGTGATTGGATCATAATTCCGGGGACACTAGTATAGTTTCAATAATATTTTATCGATCACCGGATGTCCAGTTTGATATTAAGCGTGGAAAATAAAAGCATTTACTTTTAGGGGTTTAATCTCAGTTCTTGTTATCATATCTTGGGTGACCAGAAATCCTCAGTCACCAGGTGACTAAGAGAATGAGATGATTAAGAATCTTTAGCCATCACGTGACTAAAAGAGCGAGATTCACTATAATTAAGCTTATTTAGTTTACCCTCAATACTCGGGGTTGGGCCCGAAAAAAGCAAAACTCCTTTAGATGGGCCCAGATATAAAAAAAAAAAAGGGAAAGACGCCCAATCCAAGAGTTTGAGAGAGAGTAACGAATTGCGCTAGGGCTAAACATGTACTTTTAGTTTGGGCTCCATAAGCTGCAACTGCCAAACCACATAAAACCCTAATCCCAAACCTTGCGTACGCTACTCTCATACGCACAAGCCCGAAGACTCCGAGGTGCTCCGCCGCCGCCGCAGCAACTAGCAGAAGAAGGAGAAGCAGGACTTTACGTAATCGGAAAATGGAGACGGCGAGAACAGTGAAGGACGTGTCCCCTCATGAATTTGTCAAGGCCTACGCCGCTCACCTGAAGCGCTCCGGCCGAGTCAGTCTCTCTCGCTCTCTCCCTCTTTATACATATATATATGTATGTATGTATCTGGGTGTGTGTATTGTATGATCGATTATCGATGTACTTTTGTGATATGAACAGATTGCAAAGCTTAGATAATCTGAGTACTTGGTTTAAATTTTAGGTTCAGCGGCATTCGAATTTGTTTTAGTTTGTATACCGAAATAAGTGTTAATTTGCGAAAGTAGGAGGTTGGATTTGGTTTTGTTCGATCTGTTATAATTTTCAGTTTGTGTGATTTGATTAGAGGAAGGGAGAAGGCAATTATTGAATGACGAGTCTTCGAAAAAACACCGAACTGGATATGCCATTTTTGCTGTCGAATGGCGCCGAGGAAACGAAAGCATTAAGTTGTTATGAAGCCAGTATTCGGCATGTTGTAGTAGTTTTTGTTTCTTAGTTATCATAAGTGAACATAAATGTCATTCAATGTGTGTAAAATACAGTTTCGTTAGCCCTTTTTAGTTGTAGCTATCAGTAGTGGATGCTAAACAACTTGATGCCATTTTGGAAAACAAAAACCGAAGTTCCGATAGTCATATGATATCTTTGAATGTGGAAATGTGTTTGCCAGAAGGTTCCTTTGCTTAATGATTTTAGTGTCATTCATTTGCTTAATGATTTTTTTATACTAATCTCTCACTCGCTTCCGGTTATACTTTGTTTGTCTCTTGTCAATGAGGATTCTCTTCTCATGTGTTGTCTTGTACCATCTGATAGATTGAGCTTCCTGACTGGACCGACATTGTGAAGACTGCGACATTCAAGGAGCTTGCACCATATGACCCTGATTGGTACTACATTAGATCTGGTATGTGGAATTCTCCCACCCTTTCTCCACATACCCACAAAACCTTCGACTAGTATTGGTGTTCGTAAAACTGTTTACCGTGAGTATCTTCATCCGAAAGTCAATTTTTCTTGCAGCATCCATGGCAAGGAAAATCTACTTGAGGGGTGGTCTTGGTGTTGGTGCCTTCCGCAGGATCTACGGAGGGAGCAAGAGGAACGGCAGTCGCCCACCTCATTTCTGTAAAAGCAGTGGCGCTATTGCTCGTCACATTCTTCAGCAATTGCAGAAGATGAACATCGTTGATGTTGACGCCAAAGGGTGAGTTTCTTTCACACATCTCTGATTTCATATATGAATTTTGGTGTAGAGAGTTATCGTATCATTGTTACAAACGACAACATGAATGAAGTTTTTGGCGACTAAACTACTTGTATTTCCTGTGTTTCAGTGGACGGAAAATCACATCCAATGGCCAGAGGGATCTCGACCAAGTTGCTGGACGGATCGCTGTCGCAATCTAAGAGAATTTCTTGAAAGACTTGATTATGGATGCAAAACAATTCAGAAAACTTTTTGCAGCTATGAGTGAGTGAGCAGATATAGGAAGGATTTTGACATGTTATGTTGTGTTTAGCAGTTTTATGATGATGAACATCGCATCCTTCGTTTTTCGGTTTAATTTTGAAGTGCTAAGTTGAAATTGGCTTTCGCAATTTTAAGTTTTGTTACTTGAACCCATTCCTACTGTCCTACACTATTTAGAGATGCTTCTCTATAAAGTGCTTTTGTTCATAAGTGCTTTCATTGGAACTGTCTTTCTAGAGGCGCGTAAAAGTTTTTAGTAAGTGACTTGGAATAGGATTTGGAAATTGGAAGTGCTTCTCTCAAAAGTACAACTTAGGGATGGCTTGGAACTGCTTATATAAAAACCCTTTTGTTTAGAAACACTTTTAATAAAAGTGCTTCGTAGAAGCACATTGAAATTTTTAACAAAAGTGCAAGTGCTTCTTTCAAGAAGCACACAATAGATGCTTCTTTTAAAAGCACCTTAACCCAAAAGTACTTCTAGTATTTTTTTTGTTAAATTTCTGTTGACTTGAAAACGTTTTTAAATGTAAACGCACTTTTAATTATTTTAAACGTACTTTTCAAACGTAAATGGTGATCTTGATTAATTATCTAATAGTTTGGAATTATTAATTGTTTCTTTAATCAAAATTAGTCATTAATGAGAAATTAAAAACTAATTTAAAGTTGTAATCTTAATATTATTTTTTTCCCTATATTCAAGCTGTTAAAAAGAATTTACACCGATGTCGGCCTAAAAGCGACCCGAGTCCGAATAGAGCTGTCGAGTGTCACGGATTCGAACAGCCCGAGTGAACGAGCGGCCCGAGTCGGGTCCCACGAATGGTGCTCCACCTCATGCCCTCTCCTTACGCCACGTGGGACCTCGACAAATTCGAATTCTAGAATCTTAAACAAAATTAATAAATAAACGAACAAAATTAATTAATTAGAGCTCAAGAAAAAAATATCCAAAAGAAAAAAGAAAAATTCGAATTCGAGAAAGCCATTTGCTTTTCGTTGGATTTGGGTTTTGCTTCGATCCCTACACTCTGTGGATTTTGCCTCCCGGCGTGGATCGAGATAGGGTTTTCTCTGATCTGCGCGATCGCACCTCCGTCCTCCGCCGTCCGTCACTGTGAGTCTGTTTTCTTTTTCTAGAATTTTCAGTCCTTTCATGCTTCATTTTTTGAAATCTTCATGTTTCTGTGCATATATGTACATATATCTTTGTGTGTGTGTTTTTTTAGATATTGAAATGTATGTATGCATTTGTATTTCGTTTTTAGATTTTCTGTTTGGTTACCGAGAAATGGGGATAGAAAATGAAGTTTATTCTAGGCGGTTAGGTTGGGTTGTTTGCTTGGTCTGGAAATATGGAGGCTTTTTAGTTGTGCAGTGGACTATCAGTTTGGACTATTAATTTAAATTTAAATTTCGAATGAATGGTTTATTTTCCTCAAGCTTGCCAATTTGTTCCTTTTAAGCTTCCAACCAAAGCGGTAGTGTTTTACTATAAGCTAATTTTGTGTGGGTGTAGTGTTATCACTAAATTATGATAGAATCATAGAATTGTGTAGTTACATCCGGAACCGCATAATTTCTTTATGTTTACTCGAATTTTGATTTGGTTGTCGCCTCTGAATTTTGATTTGAAACCATCCATGGTAGTAGGTGCTTTGTTGGAATTTTTGGAGTAATATTTCGTTTTGCGTTTTGAACATTTTATTTGATTTGTTTTGTGAAGTAGGTTGAAGCGGTTATAATAAGTAGCGCCTATCAAAAGCGTGGTTTGGCTCTGTGTTGCGAAGGATGAAGTAAGTAGGAGGGTGTTGGGATGATAAGGCTTCTGATAATGTTATTGAATGATGAAACTGTATTGGAGGATGTATGAGTTTGATTTGTAATTAAATTGGGTTTAGGGAGTTTACTGAGGATGGATGATGATGGAGACTTTGATATGTTTTTGCCCTATTGGAACAACAAGAATCCAACTGATCGCCTTTTCATAGTCTCTTGCTTTATTGCGGCCTTAGTTGGAATTTTGACTATAGCCTACTCCGCCTTTCAATGGAGGAGAAATATAAATCTAAGTTGGATGAAAGCCATTGCCAGGTCAAAGAAAAACCCTAAGGCACGTCACAAGGTTCCTATAACTCCCCATACTTGGGTTCTAGAATCTGTATCTCGTGGAAAGAACTTGAATTGCTGTGTTTGCCTAAAATCCATGAGCCCTTCTCAAACTCTTGGGCCTATGATAGCTTCAGATAGTTTTAGTCACCATTGCGACATTTGTGGTGCTGTGGCTCATCTGAGCTGCTCGTCTAGTGCCCATAAGGATTGCAAGTGTGTATCCATGATGGGGTTTGAGCACGTGATGCACCAATGGGCTGTCCGTTGGACAGAGGCAACAGATCAACCTGATGAAACTTCTTTCTGCAGCTATTGTGAAGAACCGTGTAGTGGGTCTTTTCTTGGCGGATCCCCAATATGGTGCTGCTTGTGGTGTCAAAGAGTGGTACATGTTGATTGCCACAGTGGCATGTCCAATGAAACAGGCGATATTTGTGATCTAGGTCCATTCAGAAGGTTGATTGTGTCGCCTTTGCATGTAAAGGAATTGAACCAGACTTCCTCAGGTGGATTTCTGAGCACCATTACTCATGGAGCCAATGAAATAGCATCTTCAGTACGTGCAACTATTAGGAACCAGAGCAAAAAGTCCAAGCATGGAAATGAAAACTCTGCTGACACGGGAAATAGTGGTAGTACTGGGGATATGTCTACAGAAAGCACAGCTGATACCATTCAAGCTGTTAATGGTTCTCATGAAGTTGAGGAAAACCGTAATGGTACTGTGAATGTGAATCTGCAGCACCAAGACGATGATGTAGATAAGAAGTTGGATTCCAAACCCAGTTTCAAAAGGAGCACGTCAAACAATAAGAAGGATGAGTCTCAGGTTTTAGGTATGAAACAAAGATATGAGTTGATTGATTTATCACCAGATGCAAGACCCTTGCTAGTTTTTATCAACAAGAAGAGTGGGGCTCAGCGTGGAAATTCATTGAGAAAACGTTTAAATACTCTTCTCAATCCTGTTCAGGTTTGATTCTTCTACCATCTTGAATAGATGGAAAAAATTTATTTTCCATCGTTGATACATGAATGAGTCAAGTAAGGTTATTACATGCCATGGTGGAAAAGAAAAGCATTTCTTTTCGTTTATATTCATGTGGACTAAGTAAGGTTCTTAGGTAAGATCTTTCCGTTTATATTCATGTGGACTAAGTAAGGTTCTTAGGTAAGATTTAAGGTTTGAATTTTGTGATAATAACTGCCTATGAACAAATGGGATCTAATGTGAGAAAAATATTAAAACCTGCAAGTTTAGCCTCTTAATGGAATAGGATGCCCTAAAAGAAAATTATAATTGCTGCAATTTATCAATATTAAATGCCGGCCTATCTCCACAATTGATGTCTACGGAGTTTGATCAACTTGTACTTTATTAGTAATTGTGGTATTTCATATATTTTTGTTTAAATGTTGCATGTGCTTTTGTTTCCTGTAGGTTTTTGAGCTGAGCTCAACACATGGACCAGAGGTGGGTCTTTATTTGTTCAGAAAGGTGCAGCACTTTAGAGTTCTTGTGTGTGGGGGAGATGGTACCGTTGGTTGGGTTTTGAATGCCATAGAAAAGCAAAATTTTGATTCTCCTCCTCCAGTGGCTATTCTTCCTGCTGGAACGGGGAATGATCTTGCTAGAGTTTTGTCCTGGGGAGGAGGTTTGGGCTCAGTGGAGAGACAAGGAGGCCTTTGCACAGTTTTGCACCACATAGAGCATGCTGCAGTAACCATTCTTGATCGTTGGAAGGTAGCAATTGTAAATCAAGAGGGGAAGCAGCTCCAATCGCCAAAGTTTTTGAACAACTATCTTGGTATGTAATAGTAGAATACTGAATTTTTGCTGGATCTTTCTTGTTCTCATGTTGTTTGTATGTCTCATAGTTATTGACTTAAAGTTTTGGCTCAGCTCAGTTCACAAACTACATATTCAGCTCAAATTTAAGTCTCGGTCCCATGTATCGGACCAATTATCAATTTTTTGGCTTCACATCTTTACCTTATTCATATCTCCTTATTCAGATCTTTCAGTCTGTATAAACAGCTCACTGTCAATATGTATGAGGTGAGTTGGAATATTTTCTGTAAGGAGAAAAGAAAAACCTACAAAATTTATCTCAACCTTAGACTTATTGTTCTGCTGCATAAGAATTTACTCTCTGATATTCTAAAAACAGTCCATCTGATGAAACAATGTCGATTTGGTCAGTCGATGAGTTAATTCTGAGTATTCCGACTAACTTCTGCGCCTTTTTGTGTAAGTTTTTCATCACATTGAGTGAGCTCTCATATGACTTACCACCCACCAATCACCAACTCTGGCCTGCTTCATTTGCAGGAATTGGGTGTGATGCTAAGGTTGCTCTGGACATTCATAATCTACGAGAGGAGAATCCGGAGAAGTTTTATAACCAGGTAATATTTAACAAAAATGGAATTCAAGTTATTTAGAGTCAAACTCCCTTGTGCTATATTAGGCATGAGACTGATGAGACAGGTTGGTAAGAATAGGGGAACTATGGTGCAGATGCTATTGCATCTTCGAGTCTGAGATCACATGTGGTTGCAATATAAATTAGAAAGCAATTACAGTCAATCAAACCTCAACCTGGGTGGATCACATTTTAAATCGGTTCCTGTCGTTGTAATCGTTGTTTGTTAGTAGTTTTATTTAGATTTTACTTTGATGTGTCCTTCTTAAGATGTTGAGTTTGTTACCTACCTGCAGTTCATGAATAAAGTTCTTTATGCACGAGAAGGCGCGAAGGGCATAATAGATAGAACATTTGTAGATTTTCCTTGGCAAGTCCGAGTTGAAGTGGATGGAGTTGAGGTAGAGGTCCCTGAGGTGAGTATGAAAAGTTTTAATTATAAACACACAGCACAATGACTATTGATTCAGAAATCATCATATTGCTTCGGATTTGGCTGTCTGGATTTATTATGATTGACTAATTTTGAAATTATCAGTGCTTGACAATTTTGCAAACGTTTTCAGGATGCAGAAGGTGTACTTGTAGCGAACATTGGGAGCTACATGGGTGGTGTAGATCTGTGGCACAATGAAGACGAAAATTATGACAATTTTTACCCACAATCTATGCATGATAAAATACTTGAGGTTGTAAGCATTTCTGGAATATGGCACCTTGGGAAACTTCAGGTAATTTGGGTATACGTGGAAGCTCTACCTCTCTATAAGTGCGATGCATATACTTACGTATAAGATTGATGTCTTGCTTTTTAGGTTCAATTTGAAAACGGATTATGGTTTTTATATCTGGCGTGAACACTAGATTTGGGAAAGTGTGCTATATTTCTGATCTGCCATTTTGTTTGGTACAGGTTGGGCTTTCCCGTGCTCAAAGGTTGGCACAGGGCCAGTCAATTAAGATAGAGCTCTATGCTGCATTGCCTGTTCAGGTTGACGGGGAGCCTTGGTTTCAAAAACCTTGTACATTGGCTATATCCCATCACAGCCAGGTCTCTTTCTCTCTCAAAATTCTCGTCCGATGAAAATCTAATTTATAGCTAAACCTGTCCATAAGTTTGCCATATTATGTCGTGCGCAGGCATTCATGTTGAAGCGGGCAGCCGAGGAACCACTAGGTCACGCCGCCGCCATCATCACTGATGTTCTTGAGAATGCCGAAACCAACAGTGTGATAAACGCTGCGCAGAAGCGAGCTCTTCTTCAAGAAATGGCGCTGAAGCTGACATAGAAAAGAACTTCTCTCTATAAACTGCTTAAAATTTGTGAAAGTGAAAAGTTTTGATTGTATCTTGCTTAATATTGATATGTTGTATACCATCATATCACATGTATTTTTTTTTTGCCTTTATTTTTGTTGTGGTTTTAATAGATTGCTTCTTGTTGAAGCGTTGTTGTACATGAACCTTGTTCATCATCAATGGAAATAGGGAATTTTACGATTTTTCTGACATCGGGCCAAAAGACCAACTGTGTGTCTTACTATACGAGGATTTACCTACACTCTGATAGGTTACCGTGGTGTATCAGACTAATAATTAAGCAGTGGCGTACCAAGCGGTGGGGGAAGTCTCCTTCCTACCATATATGACTAAAAGTTCATCGAAATTGAGCCATTTAGTATTGCAGTATAACGATAGTTCTCTTCACCAGTAAATGAGAGGTTTTAAAGTTTGATTCTTGCAAAATACGTTGAAATTGAGAAATCATATATTACAATGAGATTCACTCGAGAAAAAATAATATCACAAGGGGTTGAACCCGATTGAAGTTGGGTATGAAATTGTATGACTACTAACAGGAAGTGCAGTGCTCCGGGAAGAGCGGCTGACCCCTTTGATTTCAACGAAGCACGAAAGACTCGAGCAAGCTGGAGTTCTGACTTCTACCAGGACCAAAAGCTTATTGAACCTGCACACAACTTCGGGAGGAGACCTGCATGCATGTGTAGTAGTAATCAACCCTCATTCTTTTGCTTATTCTTCACAAATCCTTGCTTCACTTTCCTCCACGCCCTCGCCACAAACCCCTTCGTTACCAGCCCCGCCGGCCTTGCGGTCGGCTTTTGGCCCCCAGCAGTCGCACAAGAAGGCGGCTTTTGGTCCCCAGTAATCGCTCTCTTCGGTGTCCTGGCACTTTCTTTGGCAATGCGACTTAAGCCCTGCCTGTACAAAGGTGAGTTGAAGCAGTACATGTAATGAGGTGACGAGGAAGCTTTCGACGCTAGAATGGCCTTGTTGAGTTGGTGAGTCACGGCTCGGAACTCGTATGAGTCGTATAGCGTGCTGCCGTTGTGACTCGGGCTCAGCCGCCACACAGGGCTTATCATGCGGGGGTGAGCATGTGTCGCGGTAACGGTTTGTGGCTCTTTGCCGACCGGGATTTCCAGGAAAGTTGCTAGGTCTATATGTGTTGAAGACTCTCCCATGTTTTTTTAGAGAGAGAGAGAGAGAGAGAGAGAGTAGGTTAAGGTTTGTTTATTAGGCTTTGGGGGTGTATTTTATGGGTGGATGGGTAGTTTGCCTTGCAAGTAACGTTGGTTAAGTGAATGTTACTAGGCACTTGTATTGTTTTATACGTCCTCGACAGACTTTCTTTCTACATTGACATCATAAGTTTTGTAGGAATATCACACAGTTACGTGGTATTATTAAATTACTCATGCTATCGTATATAATGTCTTTATTAATATTTTATCGTAAGCTTATAAAATATCAATTACGTCGTCAACGGTCAATTTAAATTATATAATTTGTAAATTATAAATTAATAATACTATATGACGGTGTGACTGTGAAACTCTTAATTAATAAATGATGTTAAACATGAAAGCATTAAGTTATTTATTTTTATTTATAGTTTGATATGTGTGTATGTTAAGATTTTTGTTGTTGTCTTGTTCAAGGTTTTTGACAATATGGAGGTGGAAAGTGGTATTTCTCTTTCTCATCATATGTTTGCACATGCTTTTGCTTGCTTCCAAATCTTAAATTAAGTGCTTAATTCTATTTCATAGCTGCTAAATCCATTCTAATGTCTTATTTTTTTAACCACATTATAATCTCATCCAGCATAAAAAGTTAAAAAATTGAAATGCTATTTCTCCACCCACTATTATTCCAAAAAATTAAAATGCTATTTCCTCACAAACGAAGACTTATCCCATGATAATCTACATATCAATGAATGACCTTCCAAATACTCAAGTACTGTGTGATTATGTGCTATAATAACTACCATCAATATCCAATACTCATTAGTTCCTAGCTTCTTACCCTTTAATTGGGCATCCGCACTTTTTCGTTTCAAAATTCCTTTTATCCCCATCTTTTACGTTTTTCTTTTCCCAATTCGGCTTACATATTGTCCATTCCTTTCATTGTCCAATGTAAGTCTAGGACTCATGTTACCTCTTCGCACCCAACCTATTGTTATTATATATCTTTCAAGGTCCTTATTGATTATTTTACAAATAGGCAAACTTATAATTAAAAATTTCGTTAAAAAGTAGGCGGAAAGATAACAGTGAGATTGAAATAACAGCACTCTTCTTTACAAAATAATCTTAAGTGAAGGATCTAATCAAACTGTATTAGTGGAGTAAATTCTATACTCAACTCTAATCTTCTACATCCAAGTATTGACTTTTGGCAAGTGATATAAAGTATTTGAGAGACATGCATGTTAGTGCCCTCATGACTTCGCCATATATATAATCTTATAAATCGAGTGAAACTTAAAGCTTAGATCTACTTTTTTTTTCTTTAAAAAAAAAAAAAAATTAAAAGTATTTTTCTTTCTTTAAGATATTCTTTATTTACATTTACTTATTAATTCAAGTTAAAAAGAAAAATATAACCGAATCAATAGCTAGTTGAATGTTCGTAGAAAAATAAAATGTAAATTAAAATCAGTAAGAAATAGGTGAACCTTTATTTACAAAACTCATTGACACTTACTTATAGCATTTATATTTCAAATTATCAATTGCAAGCCTAAACAATGCATGTTAGTTTATTTAAATTTCTTAAAATTTTATGGACTTTCAAACAATGCATCAAAAGACAAATCATATTCATATCCCATGATTGTTTAGAACTGAAAAAGAAGAAAGCAACATACATTCTCTAAAGAAAAAAAAAAAAAAAAACTCTTCATAAGGTACTACTGGTTTGACCAAAAAAAGAAAAGGTAACATTGGTTGGAGAAACATAAATTCTTTAACCATATGTTTGGATAAGAAAATTTAAAATTGCTAAGAAAAATCAAAATTATGGAATTTGAAATAATGAAATTTAATTTCTTAAAAATTGTGAAGTTTCTTGTTTGGCTACAGTAAAACTATAATGAAATTTATGTACAAAATTTAATGTGATCAATTGATAAATGGAAAATAACAAACTCTTCCTTGTGGAAATTAATAAATAACAACTATTTACATGAAATTTCAAGTTGCGAATTGTTAGCTCCAAACTTTAAGTTTTATTTTCACAGAGAAATTCTAAATTTCTATGATTATAAATCCGAACAAGAGAATCGGTCATTTCAATTTAAGAACTTTTGTCCAAATTTTAAATGTATTTCCCTCATCCAAATAGATGATAAATTTATAAAGAGCATGTATTTTGGTCTAACTCGCACACTCGGTGTTATAAAATTATTACAAAATATGTGAAAAAGAGAGTAATTCCTTTTTCTTTTTGAACAAACAGTATTATCTACACTAAGAGGATGGGGGAGTGGACTAAGCCTCACAATGTGTTAACAATAATTTGATTCAAATTCACCTTCGACAAGAATCAAGCCTAAGACCTCTCACAAAACTAACGGATTTGTTGTCACACCCTATGAATCTCTCAAAAAACATAAATCCGTATTTATTTTAGTCTCACCACCCTATCCCACCCCTAACACGGTCTCTCTCAATGTGCCAAAATTATTATAAAGTCAAAACTGTTAACCACCACATTTATGACATTCTGGTAAATTTTAATTATTTTGTGTGCCTCATCTAATGGAAGTAATGTTGGCTATAGACTCTAGATACGCAAAACTCACACTAATATAGATGAGTTTCTTGTAAATATACAATTTTGGTTGTATTATTTAAAAGTGTATCAATTTTTTGTGTCTAAATAATACTATTGCTTAAAAGAATCATTCCTACAACTAAGATGTGTTTTCCTGTCACCGTAATGTCCCACTTATAAATAACTTTCTCCCCTAATTTTGATGTGATGTCAAGTCTACACAAATTATAACGGATTTTTAGTCAAAATGATTTTTGAGATTAACGTAATTTCTTTATTTGATTTCTGAAATTTAAAATCAATAGAAGTTGTCCCTTATATTATCTACCGTCAATTATTTTAGTCATTATATGAAAAATCTCAATTAAATCGAAGAAATCACCAGTTCAAGTGGAAGAGTTGGTTAACAAAAACACTCTCAATTTAACGAAATTTTTTCACGAAATGAACAAAATAATTAACGATGGACAATCTCATAACCATTTCATCATTTCCACGTATAGCGTGGAATCTATGGCATTCATGTACCTACCAACTGGGCTGTCCGCGTTAATAGTTAATCCGCAAATCCTGTTAATTAAGTAAATAAATAAATGTGCAAAATCCTGATGCGTATATAACACCTTTTGTTGCTTACGATAACTCACATCTCGTCTGCCTCTCGTTGCATAATCTTTGCACTCTCTACACAAAAAATTCAGTTTGTCGACTATCTGACGCACTCCTTCTTTTCTGTTTTATAATTATCGAGTTCGATCTTACTTCACACTTTGTCGTCAAACTTTTTTGTTTCTTTTTCTTTGTGCTGATTTGTGGGCATCTTCTGAGGTATGAACACTTTAATCTCATTTGTTAATTGTCTTTCGAATCAAATGTCGTTGTTGTCTGTCACTTTTCTGCAATTTTATATAAGCTAATATTAATTGCAATCGCCATGGCTTTCATCTTACTCAAACATTCTCTGGGCTCCACCACACCAGCACACACACCCTTCCTTTCTGCACTTAGAAGCTTCCTCTTTTAACTACCAGCCATGGTGACTAGTAAAATTTTGGTGTTTAATTCGTTAAATCCCCAATGGTTTGTAGACCAAATGCCATGGAAACGTACCAACCAAGACGTGTTTGTTGAATTTAGTAGTTTTTGATATGCCTTGATTTTTGGTTAATGCGTTGAAATAGAACTGACTACAAATTTTTAATAAAAATAAAATTAAGGGTTACTGAACAGATAATAAATCGTATATAAATTTTGATTTTGCTTCTTTTATTGTTTGATTCGTGTTCATATCTCGCATACTTCTTTTCTCTTTTTGCACACTTTTATTTATGTTTCTAAGATTTATTATATCCAAGTTTTGGAAATAAGATAAATACAAAAATAGTGCAATTCTTACTCAATTTTATTTCTCACGAACCCTTATTAATTTTTGACAATTTATTCGTCCCGTGGTAAAAATGTGTGGGTGGATAACCCTACCTAAAAACAATGTTCTGAAAAATGAGAAACAACGGAAATCACATTCTCTCAGTGAAAATCACGTCTCTTCAATTAAAAGTTTGTAACCGATTCTGTTTGTGCATATTTCTCGTGGGCGCATGGGGTGTTTAATGTTGGTATGGTGGCACATGAACCAATGACGCGTAGAGTCCAGCTTTTACTCTGATCACCCATTTGTAACGCAGTTGCAGTCTTACTCTATGGGTTCTGTTTGGTCAGACGCTTAGATTCCAACCCTTGTTTTTATGCCAGAAAACTGTTTTTTTTTCTTCAATTGACTTGATTTTTATCTGTGTTCTAATGACATGGGTACTCTTGGAAATCTGCTTTTTCGATAAGCAGTTTTCGTTGAGTTGAAAGAGGGGAAAAAAGGGGGGACTGAATTTCCCTTGTTTGTTACTGATGGTGTTTGTAAACGTGTTGAATGCTCCGTTCCAGCTTTTCCATTAATCTGACTTTGCTTTGGTTTGTGAAAAGTAACATAATTGGTGCAGATCTCACAAGTGCTTTTGGGTATTTAGGCACCTCTTTCCTCTCTTTCTTTCCTGCAGTAGTTTGTGTTCTCTCTCTCTACTCTCTTTCTCTATCTCTCTCTCTCTCTCTCTCTCTCTCTGCTCTTTATTTCTTGCTTCAATTTTTGAGGCTACAGAAATCTTATCAAGGTAATGCCATGGTTTCTTGTGTAAATTAGGTTAAGGTATTTCATCATTTTCTTGCATGTTTAAATGCTCAACCGATGACAATTTTCTGGCATGGAAGAAAGTTTTGAGCAAGTTTGTCATGTAAAAATTGTGGACACTGTTCTTTCATTGTCTAGATTTAGTCAAGTTTTGCCAAATTAAATGTCAAATCTTATTAGGTAGTTGGCTAAGGTAGTGTGTCCATCCTTTGCTTCTGAGTTTGAGTCTCCGAACGTGTAATTTAGAGTAGTTTAGAGTATCGCATTCTTTATTACCATCTTGCCATCTCAAAGTTTCTAGAAAGTTGGGCATCTTATAATTGTGGATACTTCTCTTTTATTTTTTAGATTTAGTAGCGTTAGTGGGTTAAATTGGTAAATATAAGGTGAGAGGGGATTGATGGGGATCGAACCTGCATCAACACCAAGGTACATAGACATTATTTCTTTCCACCATGGCCATTTGCTTATTTTCTTGATTTGGTCTAATTTTTTTAAATTATATATTAGATCTTGCATACCTATGTTAGGTAAATTGGCCAAGGTAATGTGTCCTGTCCAATTGAACCCAAGTTCGAATTGCCTCCTCATAGTTAAGAGTAGTTTATAATATCGCCTTGTCAAGAAACTAAGGTGGTGGAGCAAATTGTTGTTGATTTTCCATTGTATCAAGTATAAATCTTGTTCTTGTAGAGGAAGCCGCCCATTATTTTCTGTTGACAGATTGCTTTGTTTCATGCTTCTAACAGAAGAAAAAAATGGTGAAGATCTGCTGCATTGGAGCTGGCTATGTTGGGGGTCCAACAATGGCAGTGATTGCACTGAAGTGCCCTGCCATCGAAGTGGCAGTGGTAGACATCTCCGTGCCCCGAATCGCGGCCTGGAACAGCGACCAGCTCCCCATTTATGAGCCAGGACTTGATGAGACTGTGAAGCAATGCAGAGGAAAGAACCTCTTCTTCAGCACTGCTGTCGAAAAGCATGTCGCGGAAGCGGACATTATCTTCGTTTCAGTTAACACCCCAACGAAAACCAGGGGTCTTGGAGCCGGCAAGGCTGCTGACTTGACATACTGGGAAAGCGCAGCCCGAATGATCGCTGATGTTTCAAAATCCGACAAGATTGTTGTTGAGAAATCAACTGTCCCAGTGAAAACCGCCGAGGCGATTGAAAAGATTTTGAGACATAATAGCAAGGGAATCAAGTACCAAATTCTCTCCAACCCGGAGTTTCTTGCCGAGGGGACAGCAATTGAGGATCTTTTCAAGCCCGACCGCGTGTTGATTGGAGGGAGGGAAACCCCGGATGGCCAGAAGGCAATCCAGGCATTGAAGGCAGTGTACGCGAATTGGGTTCCGGAAGACAGAATCATAACAACCAATCTGTGGTCAGCTGAGCTATCAAAGCTCGCCGCGAATGCCTTCCTGGCACAGAGGATCTCGTCTGTGAATGCAATGTCAGCTCTCTGTGAGGCCACCGGAGCAAATATCTCAGAAGTTTCCCATGCTGTTGGCAAGGACACCAGAATTGGACCGAAATTTCTCAATGCCAGCGTTGGATTTGGCGGGTCTTGCTTTCAGAAGGACATTCTCAACTTGGTCTATATCTGCGAATGCAATGGCCTTCCTGAAGTTGCAGACTACTGGAAACAAGTGATCCAGGTGAACGACTACCAAAAGAGCCGCTTCGTGAACAGGGTTGTCTCTTCGATGTTCAACACTGTTTCAGGTAAAAAGATTGCGATTCTTGGATTCGCATTCAAGAAAGACACCGGGGACACAAGGGAGACCCCTGCCATTGATGTTTGCAACGGGCTGTTGGGGGACAAGGCGCACTTGAGCATATATGATCTGCAGGTTACCGAGGAACAGATTCGGAGGGATCTTTCGATGAAAAAGTTTGATTGGGACCATCCAATTCATCTGCAGCCAATGAGCCCTGCCGCGGCCAAGGAAGTGAGCGTCGCTTGGGATGCTTACGAGGCAGCAAAGGGCGCTCATGGGATCTGCATTCTCACCGAGTGGGACGAGTTCAAGACACTCGATTACAAGAAGATTTACGACAGCATGCAGAAGCCTGCATTTTTGTTCGATGGGAGAAATGTGGTTGATGCTGTGAAGCTGAGAGAGATCGGATTCGTCGTGTATTCGATCGGGAAGCCGTTGGATTCTTGGCTCAAGGACATGCCTGCTGTGGCATAAGATGTGGAGATTTTCTTGCAGCTGCAGGAGCATAAGTGATTCCTTGAATTTCTACTTTTCACCTCATGTTTTTACTTTCCTGTTGTCTCAGACAGTGTGACATTATTACTCTTTCTTTTTTTTTTTTTTTTGTATCCTTTGGTCCTAATGAGAATAAACAGAAAATTTTATTAGATCGGTAAATCGATGATTTAGTGAACGATTGATTCTAACATTAGTCAAATACGAGTGTTACTTGTACTAAAGAAGGTTGACTGGCTATATCGGTGGGAAATATTAGAATAAGTCATGCATGTGTTGACGAGTATTTTCTTCTTTCTGGCAAGTAACCACTATATTTTTTTTATTTAAAAACAGACTAACTGGTGGCATCGTCATGACAGTCCATTTTTCTGAGGTCGAAAAGGCTCACAGAGACATTTCAATTTCTACTAGCCACTATTGTATGATACACACGCGCCAAATCGAACTCAAAGCGTGTCTTGTGAAATACAAGAATCAAACTCAAAGCGTGCTTTATAAAATACGAGTCTAAAATCCATCAACCACTGGACCGCCCATGATGGTTAATAACCACTATTTGTTTGAATTAGGCGAAGTGGCCGAATCTCAGGAGTCTACACATTGTGTGGAACCTTAACAAACTTTGTGTGGAACCTTCAACTTAGGCAGGAATTTAATTAAATTAAAGTCAAAGGTCAACCACAATTAGGCAGAAGTAGAAAACCAGAGGTCACGTTGAAAGAGAAAACAACTTGCATACACAGATCCACTCAGGACGCAAAGTGACGATATATCAAACCAGTCATAAAATGTCATGCAGAAAAATTAAATCATGAAGGCGTATAATAGGCTCGAGACTTGATATACCGCAACACAAGCATTCCGGATTGTGTGTAAGTTTCTCTCCTCTCGAGGAGCTCCGAAAATTTTCAAAAGAAAAGCAAAACCCGTCCTAAGAAGTTAAATAAAATTCAACGAATGAATAACAATCCTTGTACAGATATCAGATACAGAATATACAAGATTAACCTGTATTTGGTATTCCTGAGAGTATATATATGTGATCAAAACATTCTCGTCTACCTCGAACTAAATCGTAACCTGACTGTAAGAACATCCTCGGATTCTCCTGCAAACAAGTACCCGGACTACGAAATGATCCATCTCTATAAATGCCCGAGTCGTTAGTATGTCAACTACTTGATAAAGTACACAGTTTAGTACACAAAATTGTACTTACAGGCTTCGACAAGCCACCAGTCTTTCTTGCGCGCGCCCTTCTCCACGAGGCATTTTCCTTGACGTAGTTGCCATTGATAAAAATAATTCAGCAATTTGAACAATCAAATGATATCAGATATACGAATGAGGCTGTAGAGAGAGAGAGAGAGAGAGAGAGAGAGAGGGAGAGAGAGAGAGAGAGAGAGATCATACAATCTTCAACATTCTTCAGTTGGTAATAATGCGGAGCAATTTCCACTGACCACTCCGGCTTTAATTCCATCACCTGCAATTTAATTTATAGGCTTAGCTGTAATGCAAACGTATACGAAATATCAATCATGCAAATGAAAGGTAAAGGGGACAGATACCTGTCTCATATATTCCTTGGTCGTAAGTACCAACTCATGGTATATAACCCATCTTGGAAGCACCTGAGAAGAAATAAAAATAAATACATAATCAAGCAATGCATCAGATGAAATCTGTCGTCCAATTACAATAAGATGCATAAAAATTCCCTTAACGGTCATCCAAATTATACAAAATCCTAGGGATTTTCGGTAATTGTTATCATGTACATGTGTTCAGATGCGGAATAATGTGTTAGGAATATAACATAGCATGAGTGAGATGATATTGTGATCCAAAAGACTAAGTTCATACGGAAAGCAACAAAAAGGACAATGCAATTCCTCCTTACCTGTGACAGCCCTGAGCTTGGGTGTATATGGACAGTCTGCAGATGTTTGACTGTTCTGTAAGATCCATTCTTTTGAAGCTTTGCGGAATGAGGGAAGAAGCCTGATAGAAATAGCAACCAATACAGTTTAATTCAATAATCAACACATGTAAAATGAAAAAGGATTTCGTTTTTAAATCATTACGGCTAACAGTAATGGCATATTTACCAGATGTAATGGCCTTCTTTATAGTCTCGTTATCACTCATATTTGAAACCAGCTCAATCTCCACCCTCTCCAAGAGTCCCTCAAGCTGGTCTCTAATATCTCTAGCACGCTTCATGCTTCTCACCTGTAAGAGAAGTGTTGATCAGTATTCAAGAGTCAATATAGTGTAAATTGATATAGTCAAAGCAAGATGTTAATCAGTACGTAGAAGAAACAGGAAACGCCTAAACTAGTATCAACGTTGCAAATAAAAAATACATCAAGGCTTTAACAAGCATCGGTCTCAACTATACGTCACCACAAACTGGTATCAAAATGAGAAACAGTGAAATATCAAAATCTACCTGTATATAATTCTCGTAACACCACTGGGTTGAGTAATTGATCTCTTTCCAGGAGCTATGAACCTAAGATTACAAGAAGAAAACAGAAACAAATGGAGTCAATAACAACTGAAATATTACTTGACACAGAGTTAAAAATTTATCTTAATTAATTGTTTCTGATTCACCGATTCTTGTATCTTTTATAATGAGAATCAGTACCAACCTCATTCAATTCATTATAACTAAACGTTAACAATATGAACTTTACCATTTCCCATCCCCCATCCCCCAAGTCCCAAAGTCCTGGTTTAAAGGCCTGAACATCAGACATGTTCACTAAAGGGAATATGGAAACAAAACTATCCAATAAATACCTTGAGCAATGCAATGTGATCTCCTACATTCCCTGTGTGAAAATTCAATCGTGCATTGTCCGCATGGACTTGCTTGTCCTTTGGACGGTAAAAGATTGAATTACGAATGGAAAGCATTGCAGCAATGGAAATAATCTTGTCTGAACACTTGTACTTATCAGAAGCAACTATCATCTTAGATAGCATGGGGTCAAGTGGAAACTCCGCCATCCTTCGACCAACTTTAGTCAACTCACCTACCTTATTTAATGCACTTAGTGCAAATAAAAGTTCCAGGGCTTTTAGCAATGCTTTAGATGGTGGAGGGTCCATAAAATCAAAATGTAACAAGTCATGAATACGAAGGCTCTTCAGCGAAAGCAAAACATTTGCAAGATTAGTCCTCTGCACTTCTGGTAGTGTGTTATCGTCCAAATCATTGTAATAATTGTAGGCAGTATATAAGCGGTAGCACTTTCCAGGACCTGTTCAACCAGATCGACCTTCCCTCTGCATTGCTGATGCCTTTGAGGTGGGAGTGATTAGCAACGACTCCATCCCAGTCCTTGGATTATAGGACTTCATCTTGCAAATCCAGGGTCAATAACATATTTGATCCCATCAATAGTAAGCGAAGTTTCAGTAATATTTGTGGCAAGGACAACCTTCCTTGCCCCTTCAGGTGTGGGCTAAAAAATTGTTGATTGCAGCTCAGTTGGTAGGTTTGCATATATGGGACAAATAAGCAGCTCAGCAATTTTTGTCCCTAGACCCCTTGTTCTGTCTTCATTATTTCTTCTGCTGTCTCAATTTCTTCTTGACCAGTGAGGAACAGCAATATATCTCCAGGCAGTTGTGTCACATGGATTTGAAGTGCAGTTACAATTGCTGCATCTAAGTAATCAGCTTCTGGTGCTTTCGTGTAATGTATTTCAACAGGATACTGTCTCCCAGGAATTTTGAAAATTGGAGCAGAATCAAAATAATCACTGTAACTTCTCAGCATCAAGCGTTGCACTTGAAATAGGCAGTTTAAGATCATGTCTAAACCAAGCAATATCCCATTACAAAAACCACTACCCATCAGATATTCGAAGAAACCAAAGGTATCTATGAGTCTATTAAGAAGTGCTTCCAGCAGGGTCGTCATTATAAAGTAATTTTCAAAGAAAAACAAAACCATGACCTCAAATTTTGGCACACATATAACTAGAGTTAATCCATAAAGCGTGAAATTATGCAAAGACAAGAAAACTAAATCTTCAACCATGGTCAACTACTCAGTTATCACCCACAAAGGTGCACAAAGGTCACATAAAAATTGGGACCACTGATGGTTTGGTCCAAACATCGACGAATAATGATCTTCAAAAAAATAACTCTACAGAAATGACTAGAAAACATGAAAGATTTACTGCTTACCTTTACTAATCCAAATAGAATATCAGTTGAGAGTGTTCGCTCATGGGCCTCGTCCACCATCACCACACTGAAACAATTGCAGACAGACATTGAGACAGCCAAAAAACGAAAATCCAATCATTATGCCACTAGGTTAGCTTACCTGTAGCTAGCCAGATCTGGTTCACCAAGGAATTCTCGCAACAGCATTCCATCTGTCATATATTTCAAAACAGTCTTTTCCTCAAAACGAATGGAATAACCAACCTGGAAAAAGCACCCACTGCTGTTAAAAGAGGTCAGATTGCCACTACCTCTATTGCTTTTTTCTAGGTTTTGGGTAAATTTTCGTAACAGATAAGAAACTAGAAAAAACATTTCAAATTGGTAAACAGAACGTACTGCATATCATCAAAATAGGCATACCATCATAACATCAGATAATCAGAGTGAGTATCAAGTCTTTGCAGGTCATTAAGCTTTTCTTATAATCCATTCAGGTTATCAACTTATTACTTATTAGCATAATGAACAAAGATCAATTCAACGAAATTGGGATACCTCGTGCCCAAGTTTGACCCCTACTTCTTGAGAAACCCTTGCACCAACACTCATTAAGCACATAATATGCATTTCTTGACAAATATGTGTCACGTAATTATATCCTCAAGTTGTAGTACCTTCTTCCTTTTTTGACAACTTTCTCTCTGTTAACTGTTGGAAGGGAGATAAAAAGATGTTAGCGACGAGAAAGGAAACAAGCAGTGCCAGAAGTAGTTCGAAGCAAGGAGACAATCCCAGGTGATTTGATACCAAAGAAAAGTAGAAATGAAAATCAGCTCAGAACGAAATTTGTACCTTTCGTGTTGCTGTTGTGTCTCAGTCCCTTATATTATGCTCCAATTGCTTCCTCTCTCTTTGATCACGCAATCTTTCTTCTTCTGACTGCATGCCATTATAAATAGAGGAAATGTTAAAATCTGGTAGAGAAAAACAAGGAAAAACCTATAACTGAAAAATGAACGTAAAATTGCTACTCAGTGTACTGAGATTTATAATAATATGAGAGAGAACCTGCAAATAACACCGTCGGGTAAAAAGATGTCAAAATAATCAATCAGACTACAACGTGAGTCTAAAAAAGTATTGAAGAACTATAACAATTCAGTCAAGTTTATCTCTGCTTCCATCATGCAGTATTACTTAACTTTGTTTTTCAATTAAAGCAGTGACAAATTACGATACTGAATCTATGCCAAATTTAAAAATATAAATAAAAGAAGAAAACCTCTTCTCTTTTCTCCTCTTGTGCAATCAGCTGCAGCATTGCACTACGTTAAAACAGCAATTAACCCGAGAAACAAAAACAGAATACTATATTACAAAAGTTCAAAGGCTTAACCTCATCATCGTCATCTTCTTGACTCAAAATCTTCTTCCTAAACCGCTTCTTATGGGAATCTGGTTTCCTTGACTCTGAAACAACAGGAACAGATGATCCACCTCCATCATCGTCGTCGTCATCATCCGCATCCAAAAAAGCATATGTCTTCTGCTTCATGACCAACATCGCAGCTTCCCTCTCGTGTTTCTGACATTGCTTAGATATAAATAACAAAGAATAGTACAATCAGGAAAGGCATGATTTCATCGACGGATAAAACTGGGGTCGAAAATCCTGAGTTTGTACATTCATTTGATTTAGAACAAGAACTCACGTTCAAACCAGATTCTTGACGGGGCACCCTAGAAAAGATTTCTTCAGCAAATGCACTTGTTTCAGCTGATGAAGACAACCCATATTCCACAAGCTTGCCTTCCACATCAGCTGGTGATTTTGCTTGTATTTTCCATTAGTCAAATCAAATTGCATACAATGCTGCTATCATCCGTTTGAAATTAACAAAATCGAAAGCAACTTAACCAGTAAGGCGGACAAGGACTAAGAACAACTAACTTATTCCGATAATGTACTGAACAACAGGGCGGCCGAGTATCCGAGCAACACCATTAGCTTATCGGAGACCAACGTCTTCAGATTACTCTCGCTTCCCATTTTTACTGCATTGGACAACACAATCGTTCTCAATATACATGAACACAAAACAACGGCGAAACATTAAATTCGGGAAAAAAGTCGAAAATTAGAGCATGACATTTGAGCTAAATCAATTTAACACCAATTCAAGAGAATTCAAAATTTGTATGCTTAAGCTAAAAAGCAATTAAATTTCAATGCAATTATTGTAAATTTAAACAAAAACGATCACATTGGAACCCTAACTACTGCTTCCTGCTAGGGTGCTTGAATTAATCGAGAGAACTCACGATTTAAACAAATAATTTCCGGCCTTTGTTTGCTTGGCAGGGAAAGGGATGGACTTTATATAAGAAGGCTATGCAGGGATTCGCACGTGAAGGAATATCGGGACGGTGTGGAGGTTGCGGTGGCTTTCGACGTCACTGCAAACAGCGGAGCTGGACTGTTCGCCGAGCGTTCAAAACACTGTCACGCCGGCGACAGGAAGAGGAGAAAAGAGAAAAGTGCTTTTAAGAAGTCGGGTCGGGGTAGAAAGAAAGTCCCGTGCATTTTATATAAGACGGGCCTTGGACCTCTTTATTGTTTAACTTTCATTCAACTTTCTCTGATTTGTCCACGATGGGTTCGATATTAAATTATAATATTTAATGGATTCTGTGAGTCGGCCAAATTTTCGACCTTCAATGTAAATGTGTTTGTATTCTGACTTGTTTGAAAATACTTTTAAATTAATTGAATAAGTTTTTTGTGAAACTATTTTAAAATTTTTAAAACACTTGAGTTGAAGTTGTTCAAGAAGGAATTAACGCTTATTTGCATATTTTAGTCCACCCATGATCCAAATTTGGGCCGACCTGAAAAGCTTGATCCGAACGCCCGTTTAAAAACTTGCGCGAAGTCCGCCTCAAAACGCCAAAAATTACAAAGAACAAATTTAAATTATTAAATTCCATTTTATCATTAATCAAAAGTCTTGATCAACTGTAGTAACAACCACACTAACCCATGGGAAACCCAATAAGCGTAAGCCACGTGGGAAAAAGACGCGGTCTTTTCGGTGCCAGAAAAAGGTACAACAAGTCGTTGAAAATGACGACTTCTTCTTCATCTTCTTGGCCTCCATAGCTTCGGAGCTTTCGGGAGCTTGACCCCCACCTAAACCTCTCTGCACAAATCTCATATCTCTCCGTGCAGAGGGGAAACCTAAGAATTTATATACATATATATTTATATACAAATCGATTTATTGAAATTTTGTTGTTTTTTTATTAAATTTTTGTGAGATTAATTTGGTGGTGACGAGATGGGTTGCAATACAAGCAGAAACGTGGATTCGAAAGCAAGTCGGGCCGCCCGGTGGCGATCCACCGGCATTGTTGGCCTCCGTGATTCCAAATTGAAGGCAATTTCTCTCTCAATTTCTGCCTATATATATATATATATATATATATATACGTGTGTGTGTGTGCGCGCGCGTATATTGGTTGTATTATTGGGATGCGTGATTGAATTTGTGGTTATATTTTTTATAATTGTTGTAATTTGAATAATTCGGTGTGAAATGTTGGGGAGGTGGGTGGAGTGAATTGATTAATTTTGATGAAGTTGCTTCATTTGATAAGTTGCATTTTCCATTTGTGGTTTTGTGATTACAAATTGAATGCGGAAAATGCGATAAAGTTCAAATCTTTTTGTGTGGGGTGCTGTTGATTGAGGTGTTTCGAATATGTACTTGTTCGAATGTTGATTGAAGTCGAAAGAGAGCTCCAAGTTTACATGGAGATGTTTTCTATTTGTGTTGTTGGTGTATTCAGTTGAAGTATCTGACATGGTTTCTCTTTAGTCTTTCGGTTTAGCGAGTCAGAGAGTTATTTGACAATGTGATATATACTGCATCGTGCATAAACGCCTAGTTTCGGGTTCCATCTACGCATTTTAGACAATAAATACAAACCAATGCAGAGCTGGTGCTTTGGCTCCTTTCATGTGTGTGCGTGTGTTCGATGCAATGTACTGATTCGTTACTTTCTCTGGAACAGACATTTCCAGATGAAGTTCTTGACCTGGACAGGTCCATACGTACTCTTGATCTAACACACAATAAAATAGGTAATATTCTCTTCTCCTTGAGGCATGATTAAGAACTTTTACGATGCAGTCTTTTCTAGAAGGCATCTGATCTGATTTCCGCTTAACTGTCTTTAACAAAAAGCTTCAGAATTAACCTTAACGATAATGGTCTTTTTTCATGGCTTGGTGTCAAAGGTTTCGATATTTTCAGAACTTAGGCATACTTGAACATCTAGTTTACTTCTCTTATTCTGGGTGCAGTTGACATTCCTGTGGATATCAGCAAATTAGTAAACCTGCAGCGACTGGTAAGAATCATGTATTTTTGTCTTTTGTACATGTACTGTTTCTCTCATTCCTAAATTCATGCTATACGAGCAATTTGTCGTATATAAATTTTTTAAGACTTCAACTTTTACTATCTCTATTGAACAGATAAGGATAAATAGATAGTGCACAAATTTTTTTGATGAAAATGGTGGTCCTTTTATTGAAGGTTACTATCCCGAGCTGACTGTTGGGTGGGATTCTGTGCTTTCAGATTTGTGAATGAACTGCATAGATTATTCGATTCAAAATATATGAAAATAAAAAGTTGTTTTTCCACAAGAAACCATTAAGCTTTTTATTTTATTTTTATAAACAAATAGCTAAACTAGTTCGCACGAATTAAGTAATCCCTAAGTGAGCCAATTTGTTTAATATAAATGTACATTGTTCTATCATACATTCAGATGATCAGTTGACGGTTGAATTCCATTTGCTCTATTTTTCAGATATTAGCTCATAACCTCATTGACCGACTGCCGATAAATCTGGCAAAACTAGTGTCCCTAAAAGTTATGACACTTGATGGAAATCGAGTTACTACGTTGCCTGATGAATGTAATTTTCTTCTCTAAGTAAGATATTGTATGGGACCATTTTTTCTTCAACTGGATGGGACTGTTGTTTCTTTCAAATACTTCATCATGGGACATCTAACTAACAAGATGTACGTTTCCTATTTCTAGTGGGACAGTTGGTGAGACTTGAGCAGTTATCTATCTCTGGGAATTCATTAGAGTCTTTGCCTGAGACTATTGGAAGCTTGCGGAATGTAAGTGCTTTGAGATTTTCCACCTGATTGTCTGTTTTGCTTTATGTCTTAGTTAATTATCAATAGCATTTAGATTTTGGAATTTGGAATTAGCGAAAACATTGGAAAATGCATTAATGAGAATCTGAATTCCGCTTTTACATTTTTGAACATCAAACATTTAGCGTTCCTTGTGAAGGTCCACGATCTAAAAATGGATTGTTTGATGCAGTTAAAGCTTTTAAATTTATCAAAGAACAAATTAAAGTCTCTTCCTGAATCCATCGGAAGTTGCTTCTCTCTGGAAGAATTACAAGCAAATGGTATGTAACCGATGTCTGTTTAATATGCGACTGTTTTCCTTCTCTATGTGGTTATATGGCTGTAAAGTTTATCATACCACTGACAGCTTCGTGATTCTGGATTGCTTTTCAGATAATTCAATTGAAGAACTTCCTGAATCAGTTTGTAACCTTACCCACGTAAAGTCACTTTGCTTGGACAATAATAGTGTGAAGCAGGTATGATTTTTACTAATCACAAGTTTCGTTTGACTTTCTTAACTACACAGAAGAATGACAGGTTGGAGTATTCCTTGTTTGACAGATACCCACTAATCTGTTGAAGGACTGTAAAGCGCTGCAGAATATTTCCCTTCATGGAAACCCTATTTCCATGGATCAGTTTCAGCAGGTATGCCACGTTTTTCCATATAGTGTTTTACTTCAATCCTGTTTTCTTCAGCAATATATTTGAACATTTGCCATGTGATAAAAATCTAGATGGAAGGATTCCAAGAGTTTGAAGCGAGGAGGAAGAAGAAGTTCGACAAACAAATTGACTCAAATGTGATGATCAGTTCGAAAGGCCTTGATGAGGGTGTTGATCTTTGAGCGTATGGCAATGACATTCCTGAAACAGTAAGTTCTGCTCCCAAATCTCAATGAATTTCTATTATTTATACGAGCAAAACGAGAGGAGTTATTTGTTGGGCGGGTTTAGATTCTTGGTTGTGGCCCTCTCATTACTGCTCTTCTGGTTTTGCTTACTATGCTGATTTTTTAAATGAAAATTGACACTTTTCAAATAAAATAAGCTTATTCAAGCTCAATTGCTCATCATTCCCCTCTACACATTAAGCTTTTACTGTCCTCATTATGTTGTTCATGTGATAGCCGTCCGCTATGCCTGATTGATGGGAAAAAAACTACCTATCAGGTGCTATCTTAAAACAAATTGATCGTTATGTGTTGAGAAACGAGATTTTCATGTCTGTTAATCTTCGACTTCCCCAACTTCAAGACCTCGTTTCATGTTGTTTTGCGTTTATAATAGCACGTCCATTCTACGTATTTCTTCTTGCTTACCATAATGACTTGCATTCAACTTTTTTTTTTATGGTAACCGATCAGATGACAGTTGCTAACGAGAGTCAAATCCATTCAAATGCGAATGAAGGGTAGTTTCTTTGTTGCTGTAAATTCGGATGAGCAATTCCTGTAGCTTCGGGTGGACAACGTTGGGGAGACCTTGTTATTTATGATCACTCTTGTCAGATGCAAAATAAAACGTATCCAAACTCGATTCCGTTGCATTGTACACTTCGATACTATTTTCTTCAGTGCTTGCCAGTCTTTGGCAGGTTTGTATATGAAAGGGTTTGGTTACACTTACACATTTGAACTGTAAAATGTTACATATGTTGATACAACATGGAAAAGTGAATATAATGAGAACATCGAATCCAATTTCTTTTTAATTTTTAATACATCGATATATTTACATTATCGATTCCATTTAATGGAAGTGTATTTCTATGAATCCCAATTTCTTTTTTTTTTTAATTTTTAACAAACGATGGCGTTAGTAGGTTAGGTGGGGATCAATGAGGATCAAAGGCATCATGCTTTCCACTATTGCTGTAAAGCTCCATCTGCAAATTTACAAACAATAACTACCAGCAAATAGAAGCCTACATTTTCGGCAAAAATAGAAAAAACAATTTTCTTTTTTGTTGAATTTTTGTTGAAAAATAAAAAATAAAAAACAAAACGAAAAAATGAGGCGAAATTTAAGCCTAACACAGAAAACACAACAAACTAATGTGGAGCTTGACTATTTGGCTTCATAGTTGGGACAACTTACTCAAATATCATGAACAAAGTTGAGGTTTTACCATAAAATTAATTAGTTATATAGCGATTACCCCAACTTACTTATAAGTCAATGGAAGGTTTGTAGGATTCATTCTCAACAAAACCGCAAAAATCAAAAACTTGGTATCAATCTCACTACATTCATCCTAATATCAGCATAAATCAAACAAAGTAAAAACTATGTGCCGTTAGACCAGCTAGTCACGTGAACAAACCATGTTTGAACATTTGCGTGAATTGTAACATAAAATCCACAATTAATCAACTAAAATCTCAAACCTAATCTTGTATTTAAATTTCAAACATCCTTTTTTTTCTTTTCTAAAAGACAAAATCACAACACATTCATTACCATAATTGTATTAATTTAATTGAAAAGCAAAAGTTATTGGGTCACCTTAGGAAATTGCATTCAAACCACCAATCAAATCCACCCAATTTTGCAACCTAAAAAAGTAAGAGACAAATCTCTAGCTTAGCTGTCCTCATGCCACTTTCCTCTAACAACACGCCACGTGTCACTCACCCAGCGGCGGTTACAAAAATCCAGATCACCGCGCGACCCTTCATATACCTCATCCCTATCGCTACTCCCTTCCCGCACTACGAGTGGTATTCTCCGTAATTACGATCCCATACTTGTCTCTTTTCGGTATTTCCCTTCTCGGACAATCCACTTACAAAAAAGCCGAACCCTACGTCGCCCCTTTTCTTCAATCGCCGCCTCTTTTGTCGATCTCGATCAGTTCTTCGCCTCGATTCCATCTCCGTTTTTTGTCCCGATCCTGAAATTGATTTCAGATTCGATCAATTCGTCCTCTCGGCTCTCGATCGATCCCAGTTTTGTCTTCAGCCGTGTTCCCAATTCGATTCTAGGGTTAGGGTTTCAGAAAATATTCGATCTTCTTCTTCGTTTGTAGATCTGACAAAACGCTTATCGGATTAGCAATTTTTTCGCCTTCCGCTGTAAATTTCTTCCGATTTTGTAAATTATTTTGAATTCTTTTCGCGTTTAGGTTTTTTGATTTCTGGGTTTCGATCCGTATACCTACAATCCTTTGAGGTTCCTTTGTAGCTCATCAGCTGTATTTGTTGGTAGATCTGGGTACAATTTCTGGGATTTCGTACAGAATTCAAGATCTAGGGTTAGGGTCTTCAAAAATTTGGGGCTTTTCGTGGTTTAGTTAAATTAGGTTGGGGAAAAGTCAGGTTGATTCGATTAAGCTCGGTTTTTCCCTTTGGGTGCGTCAAATCAAAAGCTCCTATCTTCCAATTCAGCGATCTGCTTCATATCTCGAAGACTTTTTTCTGAGGTATAAACCGAGTTCTTTTGTTTATTTATGATGAAATTATTAGTTTTTGCATGCTAAATAAATTAAAAAGTTCATTTTTTCTTGCTCAATTTTGTGATGTGATATGGGCACCCTGTTTTTTAGCTAAAAGGGGCACCCTTTGATTAGAAATAAAGCAGCAGGTCATATTTACTAAATTGCCCTCCTTTACTATCTGTGATGTCTCTTTTATGTGGAGGGTCTTTACATAATTGGGCCCACAACGCCCTTTAAGGATATCAATTATAGTTGTAATCTTCTTATGGAAAGTCAAAATTTTGATGGACTTGTAGTCATATGGTGTAACGTTGTCACATTAAGACATTAACTGACAGAGGGAACTATAGTGTCATTGTTTGGGAAATAAATGACTTTCAGAAGTAGCCATTTTTCGCCGGAAATGTCCGTGTTTGAGGTATCTGTTTGTGTTTGCTTTGTTTCGGAAGTGCTTAATTTAGTTGCTTTAAACTGTTAAAGATGCGTTATGTGAGTCGAAGCAAGTTGATATGACAAATTTGTGGATGAGGTCCTGCTTTTTTTCATTGTAATGAAACTTGTGTTGTGGTGCACCGCCTCTGCTATCCGAGTGATAGAATCATGGAATTGTTGGAAGACCATTTGTGCTTGATTAATTTTAGGTGTATATATGTATAAAAATGTCTCCTGGTGCTTCCCTTTGGATACGTAGAAGCGTAGGTGTAAAATGCTTTTAGGCGTTTCTTTTGCATTTTATGATTTTATCTAAACGTTTTTTATTTCTTTTATGCAGTTTAATATGGTACAGAAACGATCACTTGATGATGAGGAAATATTTGTTTCTTTCAAGCACCCAAGACAAGTGGGACATAATAAAGAGCTAGTTTCTTTCTCAGAATCTGTTTTTCCTGGAGATGTTTCCGAGGAACCAGAGACTTTAGGTGAGGGTCTGTGATTTCTAAAAAGTATTATGTGGAACCTCTGGAAGAGGGATAAAATTGTTTGCATTTTTTTCTCGTTTGTGCATGTGTCGGATAGTCTGAATGTGTCTGTTTCTGAGTCCACCTTGTCCAGCCCTGTCAATGTTCTTGACTTTTTCTAATTCGACGGATTTTTAAATGTCAAACTCAGTCAAATCATTTTCACTTCGCTCTCAATTTTGTCCATAACTAATTTGGTCACATTAAAACAGCCTAATGCGATTCTGCTGTTTCCCGTTTACATTTTGGTTTGAACTCTTGAAAAAAGTTTGATGTTTGATTGGTAGAGAATGGATGTGCAAAAGACAAAAATAGAAGTGAAGAGGAGATTTCTGATGACAAATTTTCTGGTCTTCCAAAAGGCGGTGAGGATGTTGAAACCAGTGCATCTAGAAGCTTTACCATATCTTCATGGGCCACTAGCAGCACTAGTGGAGAAGATTCTCTGTTTGAAGCATTATTTCATGGGTCCTTTTTCCCTGAGTACTTCAATCATGAACGTTCAATAAGGACCTTGACTCAATTTGAGGATATTTATTCTGTTCTTTTGGATCACCCTCCTCGGAAGTCTGCCTCCATTGGACCAGAGCATCAAGCTGATGTTCCACTGTGGGGTGCACAAGGAGCCCATAATAATTTTGACCTTGAGGATGAGAAACGACTAATGGGGACTTGTGTAATTCCAATGCCTGATTCTGATACTGAGTTATTTACCGACACGGGTTGCATAGTTGGAAAGGGCAGAATTGATTGCAGCTGTGAAGATGGAGAGTCTGTTAGATGTGTCAGGCAGCACATTTTGGAAGCAAGAGAGAAACTTGTAAAGACCATCGGGCCAAAGAGATTTGAGGAGCTAGGATTTAATGACATGGGAGAGCAAGTGGCACAAACTTGGAGTGAAGAGGAGGAACAACTATTCCACCGGGTTGTCTTCTCAACTCCAACATCTTTGGGCAAGAATTTCTGGGACAAACTTTCAACTGTATTCCCCTCCAGGACAAAAAAGGAGATTGTCAGTTACTATTTCAATGTCTTTATGCTTAGGAAGAGGGCGGAGCAGAACAGGTATGACCCAATGAATATTGATAGTGACAATGATGAATGGCAGGGGAGTAATGATTACGGTGACAATCAACCATCTGTGACAGAGGATGAGGACTCGGTGGTTGAGTCTCCTGAAGGTAGACGTGTTCCTGGTTATAATCAAAATTGGAAGGATGATTTGGAAGTGTTCGATGAGGACGATACGGATGAAACTTGTGATGATAATGTTGACGTGGATATGTTTGGGCGGGGACCTGAGCAAATTTTAGATAGATGCTACGGGTTGGTTGACAACTGCAGTTCCTGTCCCATACCTCAGCTTCAGGATAAGATTTCCTGGGATGAAAAGGTAGATCAAGAAGTCCAAGATGATTCATGCACGTCCGTTGATGCAGCCGTGGCTGCCTCGCAAGAGAGTCAGCGGAAGCCTGAGGACGGGAATCATTGGTCGGGTAGTTTTAACCGCGGTGACCACGAATATGTCTTGGAGCCTTGTGATGCCAAAATCTGGGATGCTGGGTATATGACCTTCCCCAAAAACAAGGTTGACTTCTTGCCAACTAGCAACATGATTGAAGAGGTTTTCGGGAAAGAATCATGGAATTACAAAGCAAGGGATGGCAAAAACTTGGGCTAGCGTTGCATGTCCTTCGCCGAGATGGTCTCCGGAAATGTTCATATTCAAGAGGTCCACCTGAAAGTTTTTCCTCCGAAACAGTTTTACTAGAGTCGAGTTTTCCTTGTGTACATTAGATTTCTTGGGAGATGGAAGCTCGCTGTCCCTGTAACATAGTGTAAGGTGATTTGTTGTTTAGGTCTCTCTTTTATTAGCTGGTGTGGAAATGGAAAATTCCCTTCATAACTTTAGAAGGAGATCGAGAGTCGTCATCTTTGTAGGGTTGTCCTGAAAACATACCGATAATGTAAGCGTAACGCTCATCTTCATAGTAAGATACCGCGATGTAATTTTGAATTATCTTCCTAATGAAAAGTCACCGAGCATTTTATCCCTCATTGTTCATTATAATCTTGTATTGTTATGAAGATGAAATGCAACTTAAAGCGGGAGTTTAGGTCAGTCGGTTAAGGCAGTGTATTCATCTTGTTTTGTCCGAATTCAAAACCTACTCTACGACGACATATGAGTGGTTTGTAACTTTATAACACGGTCTGAAAAAGAATTGATGACTGCTGAGGTGTGATTGCAGCAGCACGGTGCTGCACTATGGAAGAGGAAGATGTTCTCTAACAAAAGCATAGAATGTTTCACTTGCTTGTGCTAATTATTTGAAATTTTGACTACTCCATAACCATCTAACAGCTGATTATCGACCGCAAAAACTGTCGGTATTTAGAAATTCTTTGTGCAAGACATCACGTTTCTTTTAACAAAAGACGAATTTTGTTTTGACAACACCCTGAATCCAGATCCATTTATGGTGGAATGGAAAGTGGAATGGAAAGCAATTTCTTTCAAAAAGTAACAGCAAAGCTATTGTGTCTTTTTATGAGTTAATCTATGATTCCATCACCCACATGGCTTTTGGATAAGGGGTGAATATGCAGTGCAGCAGCTAAATACTATGCAGTACACTAAACCAGTAGAACTCTTGCTTAGTGAGCTGAAAAGCAACGAATAAACAAGGTTAAGAACTTAAAAGACTGATTAAGTGCTAAATCCAAAGCAGATGCCTCTTCCAACCAGAATAGTTAGCCAAGCAAGAGGAGGTCTCACGTGATGATTTTAAAATGACGTTAACACGAAGATAGATTGAACTAAGCACATAATGGGTTAGTCATAACTAAATATCGAACTCAATACAATAATTATCGTTATTAATGTGAGTTGAATTTGAAAAAAAAAATCAATAAACTGTAATTAGTTTGTATGTTCTCTTTCTTTTTGAAGTCAAATATATTGACTGGTTTGAGTATCCCCTAAGCATTGCTGGTGAGTGCTTGCTCAGTAACACATGCAGCATTATTACTTTTTAAGAAACACATGCATCTTTATGATTCGTACATAAATTTATTTATAGAGAGAGAGAGAGAGAGAGAGAGAGAGGGAGAAGCTAGGGGATTTTGTAGTTGCTTCATGATATACGATCACACAGTGGCATGGGCAAAATTTTAGCTCTAAAACGCTCTTTTGATTTTTGTAAAAATCGTTCAAACGTGTGGTGAGTAACCGTTCAACATTGTTTGAGTCTGGTATGGTGTCCTCCTCAAAGCTTACAAGCAACAGATTACCTGAATTTCATAAGAGCCATTAATTTCAAATCAAACTTGATGAAACAAATTGAAGTAAAAAAATATCGGATTGAGGCTCTGAGCCTATGGAAAACCTTGAATATCATAAACATAATACTAAATTTTTCTGCGTGAAAAAAAAAATTCCTAATAGACTTGGGACTATCCTAGTCTCTTTATGGCTCTGCCTCTACACTCACGCATTCATATATCACTACATAAATATATAAGGAAAAAAATTAAAACAAATCTGATTGAGATTGCGAAGCTTTTTCTGTAGATGCACTGAATTTTTAGTTATTTTGTAATTGTGAAGCCGATTAGCAGTTACTAATTATGATTAATCAATAGCAGCATTCGAGTAAAAAATCCCCAACTGCCAAGACTACTAGCTTAATTATGACTTAATTAAAGCTTAAGATATGCTTAATTATAGTTCGGGCAACTTTTTGATGATTTTATATTTTTTGATCACTGGTATCAAATTGGTGTCGGCCTGGTTGTCACATGTTTGCTTCATGCAGGGAAAGATATCATGTTCATTACGCCTCCCAACCAACTCATTTTATCTTATTTTCTCATAATAAAAAAAATCAGAATATGCATACAACATATATTATACATACATATGGATACAGGGACGGATGAATATTGGGACCAAGGTGGTCTTAGACTTTCAGGATCATTTGAAGTTTAGAAAATATACATGCGAAGGTCTTTTGAGGACATTCGAATGTTTGGTACGGATCCTTTTTGTGTTTACCAAGTGTTTGATGTAATGACTGCTAATTATATCTCAACAGGTTGGGTCGACAGCACTCGACAAATTCTCTCTATATCACTTATAATTGCTTCGTGTATGTCTATATCGGTTGACTTATGCGCAATATGATTTGGCTGCCGACAACAAGCACACTAAGTGTTCAACAAAATACATTTGTGAATAAACTATATTTTTTTGCACGCTTCGCTCTTTGTTTCTATTTAACTTGCATTCTAACACTCGAAACTCTCATAGTTTGAATTCTGAATCCACCACTGTATATGCATTATTTATTTTTAATACCTCTTACTTCTAATCCTTTTTATTTTAGAGAATCGAACGCTAAACTTATCACAATTCTAACTCTATTCACGTTTTTTTATTGTAAACAAGTTTGAGGTCGTCAAGCTCTGGTTCATGCGAGTTGTTGTGATGAATGATTCAGCACTTTCTAATTTAATTTAGCATAAAAGAGTTAATTGTAATAACGGATTTTGAACTATATCTATCCCGAGTTGCATTTTAGTCCTTAGGCTGCTATGAGATTTTTCAGTGTGATTGGAACACGGGATGGTATATCACGTGTTACTATACCAATGGTGGAGTATGTGTATTAAAAAGTTAATAACTTAAATATTAAAAAATTTCACCATTTATATAAAAACACGTGGTATACAACTTATATTCCGATCACAATAAAAAAATTCTCGCTATCTAGCTACAAATATTTGTCAATCAAATATGTGGAGTCCATGTGGATAAAGTGGGCAGTTCAACAACTAGTGGCAACCGGACATAGATTACAAGTCTCTTGGAGCAAAAATCAAAGTGTGGCTGCCAGAAAATCAATTGCTTTCTGCAACTCCATGCACTTTTCTAGCATAATCCATCAAAAGTTGAAACGCATAACCACAATAGCAGCATGTCATGTTTAATTTATTAGGTAAGGTAGACTGGAATGCTAAAGCATTGCAACATCCACTTAGCTAGCTGTTGGGTTGATACCACCAAATTTCATAACTAGGTTAAAGTGCCAAATTAAGTGGAGTCATAAAGAAAAACTTGTGTATGGACATTCTGACCACATGCTTTTCGTAAAATAGCTATTATAAAAGCATGAGATCCTCTGTATTTTAGTCTAATTCAACCTCATGATGTTTCACCTGGCGTGAGAACTGGCCTAGTCAAACGGTCCCGCAAAAGTTTTCCTTTGAGTCACAATGGTTTAAAAAAGTTGGTGTTGGATGTTGAGGAAATAGGGGAACGAAGTAAGGAAGCTTCGGAAAAGCATTAAGAGCCAAATCGGGCATCTTCTATCTTATTACTCTTACAGTTAACACATTACAAGGCATGGCAGAAAGGAGTGGACTGTGGCCATTCTTTCATTTGAAGTGATCATGCTAGTCGATTTGAGCATCACTTATGGAGGGCCATCTCTCTTGACTCTCAAGTGAAGTTTTTTGTGGGCTACCATACATATCTCACATACATCTTTACGCATACATGTATGTACTTGAGTATGTATACGATCTCTCTTGATCACAACAACATCAGGCATATCAACAATTCGGACTTTGGCCACCGCCGCAAGTTGCGTAGGACATGCGCATAAGCTGCATGTAAAAGAAACATTAAGATCTTCCTACTTGCTCGTATGTACGTATAATATGACATCTCGTGGGTCGATTAAAAAACAATAGAAGAAGAGAGAAGAAATGTAGGGTTTACAGCTAAACATTGTACTAAACTGGTAATTAAAGAGCCGGCAAGAAGGGCACAAAGGAAGGGGAGTTATGCAGTTAAGTGTGGTTAAGGGTTTGCTAATAAGACATTCTTGTTACGATTAGAGCAATGAAAGCCGGCAGCAGGCTACTCCACCACCAATAAAGAGGCCGGCCAACACCGGTTGTTTGGCCATGCTAGCTGCCCTATTTCTGACCTTGGTGTATGGCTGCACCTACAATCCAGACTTGCAGCATGTACAACTTACTTGTATCATTAAGTTAGTATTTTTTTTAACTAATTAATCAAGAAGATCTATATGTCTGTTAATTATCAAAACTATGGCCCCTAAGCTAGCTACTTCTGTTTAATTAAACCCTATATTTTAGGAATGATCGTTTCTTTCTAATTGACGGGACATGATGATTGGAACATGCGATGTTTTTTGACACTCACAAGAGAGATACCATTAAATTAAAAACTAGTTGGTTAGGTTAGTGTCTACATCGTACATTATTTGATATTATATGTTCGATTCTTCTAATACTGTACATTTTCATAGACCCCAATAGCCTATTAATTTGACCTCTATGTAGAAGTAAGGAACTGGATCCTCTCCTGAGCTCAGGATGGGGATCCTCCTCAGCAATCTATCCAGACCATTGAAATTTGATTCAAAGGCTCTAAATAGGAGGCTCCTTTAAAAGTTATAATAATTGCAGCCATTAAATCAAATTTGAACGGTTCGGATGAACTGCTCATGAGGATCCTCATCCTGAGTTCAGGAGAGGATCCAATTCCTAGAAGTAATATATATTTTGATCAAGCGGCTTGTGAGCAGTACATCCAAATATATCCACTGCAAAAAAAAAAAAAAAAAAAAAAAAATCTTCCTTGAAAATGAATCAACCGGTGGCAAAGTCACAGCAATCAATCTTTTCGGGATTAAGAAGACTCGTAGAAGCATTTCAGCCTCTTACTGACACCATCGTGTAATTCAAAAGTGTCATGAATCGAACCCAAGATGACTCATGTAAACTACAGACTTAGAATGTGCCCCAACCACAGAAGCACCCCGTATTGGTTATCCACTTAATTAGGATTCATAAAAAGGATAAACTATATATATTGGTACTAGAAAACAATATAAGACCATCTCCCAAGGAGATGTCAAATATGTCAAATAAGATTAAAATACATTTAAGTGTTCTCCAATGGATATGTTATATATGATGTGGCATGTGAGTTATTTGACTCCTTACTTTCTAGCTGCTCCCATTCTTTATACTTAATTTTTCCTTTTTGTTAGATAGTGTTGCAAATTCACTACATGTATCAAATGTATGGAAAAAATATATATTTTCCCAATTAATTAATGAATTTCCATTAAAAAGTTTATCTGCCAGATTTGTATATCAGTATTACAACTTATAATCTACTATATAGATGACAATATTGATGGGTTTTTTGCATGCCAGATATGCTTGTGGTGCAAGTTATATGGTAAAATATAATGAGAAATAACTTATCAGAGATCATGGTTTACCATACTCTTGTGGTTATCCAGAAATTTCAAAGGTTACCTACCAAAATATAATTTTCTGCATCCATGCATGGTAAGGTTAATTAAGGTTAATCATTTGATCATTTTTGACCGTTGGAGTAAAGTTGGTTTTTAATAATTAAGGACTATCGTGTAGGATTCATTATCATAGGGGAATTCGACGTAAGAACGAAATGTCTCTTTAAGCTACCTAATACCATCTTCCTTCTTTTTTATCCGGACTTGGGACCGACAGTGTAAGATAAACTTACACATGCAGAGTTTTGGACTATCCGACTGTATTCTTGATATTATTAATTTGATCGTATAGTTGTCGATACTTGGCTAATCTAGTTATCAATACGTTCCCCCATAAATTTGACGGAACTCTTAAAAAAAACTGCAATTAACCATTGCAAAGATTAACGGTATTATAAATATAAGGAAAACTAATGAAAAAAACTTGAAAACTTTAGTTTTAACAATAAAGATAAAATAAATGATAAAGTGAATGATACCATGATTGATTTTTTAGTGTAAAAATATAATTTTTCATTAAAATGAACAATATCGAAAGTTTTTCTTTAAAGTTCCTGTAATATAAGCATCTTATCAAACTCACATGACGAGTAGCAGTGTGGAATGCTATGCTTTGGTTGCAACTGAAGGAAACTGGATAGAGGATTTTATCTATGGGACCGACCATGAAAATTAAATCCTGAAATTATATAAATATTATTATTAAATAATTGATTAATTAAGCAATATTAGAGAGTGGAACCTCACTTTGGACTTGGGGTGAGTTGAGGGTGTGGGGCCCCATTGCTTGGTAGCAAGACAAAGGAAAGAATAGTTAAGGAGGAAGGCAGTTAATTTTCGCAAGGGTAAAGGCTTGCAAAACCGTCAATGTATTTGATACGTACGAATGTTTAAACGAATTTTAGTTCGAACTAATTCTTATTGGAGACGGTCTTTAAAGATAATTAAGAACATGAACGGTTTGAAGTTATGCAATTTGAATCATTAAAGTTACGCTAATGACAACTGATGACACAATAAGATGCATGAATACGCGTTTTCATTTTAAGTAGAGGTTCTTGAACCATAAGGATGCTGACCTGGACGAATCTCGGCCGTCCAATTTCGGGTTGCCGTAGGATCCTCGGTTCAGTACACGTGCTAGTATCTTTCCTCTCCTTTACCTCAATTTAATCTTTTGCTTCCATGCATGGATTTCTCCTCCAAATATAGTCAAGTTCACAGATAGAGAGAGAGAGAGAGAAACTAGAGAGAGAAAGCGAAAGAGAAACAAACGCTCGCTCGCTCACTCTCTCACTTTCCATTTTTCCTCTGTTCTTTGTGCTTGTTCGTCGCCATCGTCACCACCAACAAAGAACACAAAGAAGACAGCAGAGCTACTGATTTATGTTTTTTTTTTTATTTTTTTTTTTTGACTTACATTTTTTTCTAGTTCATGTTACATGGAATCTGAGATTTTTTTCTTTCTGGGAAAGTTTAAATAGCAGCAACAAAGCTTTGATCTAATGCAATTCTCAACCCGAGTTTTCGCTTCGATTTTCTGATCGGATTGTCTTCTGTTTGAGTAGCATTTTTCCTGTTTTAGTGTAATGAGATCAAGAATCTGAGAGTTTTTCCAAATCTCGTGATCAGATTCGAAGCTTTCTGATCTGAATTTCCGTATTTGGTTGAGTTTTGATTCGAACCGATGGAAGAAGATCAAGAGTTGAAGTATGTGTGCAAGTTCTGCACCAAGAGCTTCCCCTGCGGCAGATCCTTGGGAGGTCACATGAAATCTCACTTGACCAACCATTCGCCGGAAACAGAGGAAAAGCTCAACACCGGCAGACTTAAGCCCTCGTCAGGCAACAATGGTGATTCTGATTTCGGAGGAGGACCACATCAGCAACCCGGTTACGGCCTCAGGGAGAATCCGAAAAAAACTTTGAGACTCGCGGATTTGAGTGAGGAGACTTCGTTTCTTCTGGACAAGTTTTGTAGAGAATGTGGCAAAGGGTTTCAGTCTTGGAAAGCTCTGTTTGGTCACATGAAGTGCCACTCAGAAAAAGAAAGAGTTTCGATTGAGAGCTTTGAAGAACATGAAGGTTCTTGGACTAGCCAATCAGACAACGAAACTCCTACTGCTGCTGCTCCCAATCGGAGAAGAAGATCGGGGAGAAGAAGAACAAGGTACATGGGAGCAACAACTTCCTCTTCTAATTTTTCAATTGCTAATGCTTCTGTTCCTGCTACTACTACTTCCTCTGTTTCCGAGACTGAGCAGGAACAAGAAGAGGTTGCTATGTGTTTGATGATGCTTTCGAGGGATTCGAGTCACTGGGGAGGGTTAAAATTAGTACCTCATAACTCTCCCGATGATAATTCAGGATTCTCCGATTCTCCATCATCAGTTAGAACAATTGCGGATATTAAGGGTAAGATTGATGAAACTTCGAAACTGAAGAACAAACTCACTAAAAAGGTATTGGAGCCTCGAGATTTCGAGTCCCTAGCAGTACTAGAAGATAGAAAATCCAAGTTTTGCTCTTCTGATGGCGGGTTTTCAAAGAATGATAAATTGGGTTCCAACAAGTACAACTCAAGCAAGAGAAAGATCAGAGAGGCTTGTGATTTCGAATTGAGGTCAGATAAGACCCCGAAAAAATCGAGTACTAGTAGAGCTGATGCTTTGGATTCTGAAGTAGTAGTATGCAAGAGTTCACAAAAGAGAAGCAAATTCGAATGTACTACTTGCAACAAGGTTTTTCGATCGTACCAAGCTCTCGGAGGCCATAGGGCAAGTCACAAGAAGATCAAAGGATGCTTCGCCTCAAAGATCGAAAGCAGCGAAAACACCATGGAAACCGACATCTCCCCTGAGTCTTGCTGCAACAATGAGAACCCCGTTGAGAAAGAAATAGCTGAGAGCAGTGCAAAGAGTACAAAAGGGCATTCCTGTCCAATTTGCTACAGAGTTTTTCCATCAGGGCAAGCATTGGGAGGGCACAAGAGATCCCATTTGATTGGTGAGGCTAAAATTACCACCCAAACCCTAGTGATTCAGAAGCCTGCAGCACCTGAAGTGAGAGACTTTCTTGATCTCAACCTTCCTGCTCCTGTGGAGGAAGAGAGCAGTAGCAACCATGATGCAGCTGCAGTAGCATTTAAGCCATGGTGGGTTGGAAGGAGCAGCCATAAGCATGAGGCTGCCCTTGTAGGCCTCATCTCCAACTGAGTTTCAAGTCTTTGGCCATGGATTCTGATAGGGAAATGATCTCCTCACTGTCGGTTTGTCCTCCTGCACTCTTCCCTTTTTATTCTTGCCATTTGATTGAATAAATCAAATAACAGTCAAGCGAAAAAGGAGAAGAGTGCGGAAGGAGAAAAAAGAAGTGCGGAAATTAAGATTCTTCCAATAAAGGTTGAAAATTGTTGAGATACAAATTTTCTGGGCAGTATGATTCATTAATTCTTTACAAATTTTAGGGTTTGCTGAGGCATTATTGCTGCTAATTTGCCTCCCAAGTTAGGCCTTACCAAATTTCAACAGTTTCATAGTTATCACCATAGCCAATTCGGTTATACCATAAATGTTATTTCCTTTAAGATTCAGGCTCGTTGATTTTGTTTCACCACACAACTTCAATACTATAATTACGTTTCAGTTTTGGATTAATTATGAGATCTTGAGAAGAATTGCCCTTTGGAGAGCGTAGTATGATATGAAGTTGTAAGAGGCGTTAGAGAAGGTTACTGTCTCGTTCGCCTATATGCTATGAGTCGGGGCCTGAGAGGGGATAGTATACCATGTAGCAGATGTCAACGTTTGAGCTAGTTATCTTCAACTTGCAGGTTTAGTCAATAAAAAGTTACGTGATAACATAATATTCAGTTTAGAGTGCAGATGGCTGAAAACATACGAGAATTGCTTATGAGTGAGTGAGGTATTGAAAAAGGAAAAATTAGGATGGTATGTGAAGTCATGAAGAAACGAAGAGATGCAAAAGAAATTCAAAATGTACACAAATATGAAACATGTCATGTGAGCTAGTTGAAGGTGGTTGTTTAGTCACCTACCATTAAACATGACAAACCATCTCATCTCACTTCTTTCACAAACTTAGTATGTCAAGTCATGCTAATATTTCTCTACTTTTAACTACAACTATGCTCACTACCAACAAAACAAAATAAAAATTAATTGTTTTTACTGCAAGCGATATTATTATTCTAAATTAGACTAAGAGAATGAAGAAATTTTGAATCCGGAGCACAATCAATTAGAGAGAAATACTTTGTCCACTGAGGCAATCCGCCCATACAATAACTATATACATTTGTGTGTGTGTAATTTTAAAAAAGTCTTTGGACCACTACAACTAGAAGTGTATTTAAGCGAGTATAAAGTCAGCTTAGCACGCGACCTTTGATAATGATTTATATAATATGGGACGGATCCATGACATTATTTTTATTACATAATTGTTGACACACTTTTTTGTAAGGCTTACTTTATAATGTATTTCAACATTATGAACCGTCTATCTTTTATAACATCATTTATAAACTATTCTTATAAAAACATTAGACAAATCCAAAATCACTAAGACATTCATTTGTAGTGAAAAATACGATTCTATAAAGAAATCATAAACTCTTAATTCAACGGTCATATGATTCAAATTCAGGTGAATTTTGGTAAATATGATCTCAAAAGAATATCTAAAAGATAGACGGTTCAGAATGTTAAAATACGTTACGAAAATAATCCAAAAATATATATACGTGTAAAAAAATAGTACCACATATCCGTCTTTTTTATATAAATAAAAATCTTTAAATTTATGTGGACCACTGCAACGAGAAGTGTATATAAGCATGTATAACGTCAGTTTAGCACGCGAACTTTGATGCCGTCAGGCAAATGGGTTTTGATTTAGGTGGCCAAGGCTGCTAAAGCACGTAATATTTTTGCCCTAATTTATCAAATTCTACACCAGTTTTTGGCTTCTAGTCATAGGGTTTGGTTACCTTTTTGTTAGAGCTAAACATCTAAATTCTGTTCAGCTTTTAATGCAACGGCGCTTCAAAAATTAACTTCCCGAAATCTCCATCTTCGTCAAAAACACTTCGAACACCGTTTTGATTTCCGAAAAACACTTAGAACACCACCGTTTTGATTTCCGATTCAACTGTTGTTTGCACCATACTATTTTTGCCAGTTATCAGCCGAGTGATGGTTTTCTTTTATGTAGTTTGATTTTTCATGTATTTTTACGACAATTAACAATTGTTGAAAGGACTACACTAATCATATATTAGTTTTAAGCTTTTTTGTGTGGCAATATTATGTGGAATTCAGAAGTGGTTGTTTCACTTTGCTCTGGTAGCTGGCAGTTGGTAGTGCTTTGTCAAGAAAGCATAACACATAAATAATGATAATATACAGAAAAGAGAAATTATCGAGTGTGCCAAAACACGACCAGATATATCATGTCTTATAATCAATTATCCAACCACTTGTATTATAATATTTAGTCTACAATGCTCCATCAGCTGCAACAAATGCCATAATTGGGCCAACGGAAAACCCAGAAGCCGAGTCATCAAAGTTTCCCAGCCGCAAGTTCCAAAAGAAGAATTGGAGACAAAGAAGAAAAATGTCATATCTGGCGGAGCAACAGCTAGTGCGGTCAAAACGTGTACCGTGTGCAATGTGGTCTGCAATAGCCAGACAGTTTTTAGTTATCATCTCGCCACTGTGTGCAATGGCCTCTAGTTGCTACTTCAGCTTCTGTTTGTTTCTTAACCATAGCAGCGTGCTTCTGACCGGCAAGATGAGAACAAAAAACTGTCTGGCTATTGCACACCACATTGCACACGGCACACGTTCTGACTGCACTAGCTGTTGCTCCTCCAGATATGACCTTTTTCTTCTTTGTCTCCAAGTCTTCTTTTGGAATCTGTGGCCGGAAAGCCTTTGATGACTCAGCTCCTAGGTTTTCCGTTGGCCCAATTATGGCATTTGTTGCTGATGGAGCATTGGAGGTAGAGACACTCCCATCATTCTTGGACTTTCCCAGTTGCTCCAAGTTCTTCTTATGTTTCTTTCCAACTAGGTGTGTGACATAGGCATCGTTGCTGTTACAATTGATTTTGCAAACTTCACACCATGCAGATTGAACAAGCTTGACTTTATTTGGGTCTTTCTTCCATATTTCATTGAACTGAGATCCAACTGCAGCAATATATGGCCCGCCAACTAGAGCCATTAAGCTAGCCTACACAGTATATGGAAATAGTACCAGTAAGAAATATAAATATTATATGATGCATAAGAGTAGACTTCTACTGCAAATCTATCCAAACGCTTTAATTTCTTATACCTAAAGACCCCTATAGTAGGTGCACGAAAACAAACAAATGTTGCAAACGCATTCCATCACCTAAAGATTTATCGGTTGCTACAAGGGATGGGAGAATCTTAAAAGGAAAGCTATTTAAAAACTGTTTTATTCACCTGAGCCTTGTGCCTTTTTCCATATAGATGCTTATTATAAACTTCTTCGCTATTGCAAGTAACGTTGCATATGGTGCAAACCCTCACAGAATCAACTGTTGAACCGCCCCTCAAAATGTTACGCCTCTTTGTTTCCAATTCTGCACCAGCAGTCACACCGGGATTATGTTGCATTGCGACTTTCTTCTGGTGTTTCTTTCCCGCTATGTGTGTCTCATAAATTGGTTTGCTAGTACAATAGATATCACAGACATCACACCGCAGGGACTGGACAACCACAGTTGGTTGTGGAGTGTTCATTGTAGCAGTATTTGCCAAAGGTTGATTTGTCCAACTGCTATTCCACGGAGAATTCGAGGCCGTTGCAGGCACAGACATACTCTCATTCAAAGATTTGAAAGACTGCGAACCAGTGAAACCACCAACAACTACTTTCAAAAATCGATATCAAAACAATGCAAACAAATGGGAAAACTTACAGGTCTAAATTCGACATAAAATTAGTACGAAAAAATCGAATTGAACTCTCAAGCGATGAAAGCTCAATACAAGTAGTGCCTTTCAGTAACAAGAAATCGAATCGAATCAAAATTTCCACATAATCCAAATGTACCAAAACTCAAGGTAGAACCTTCACAAACAGATTACGATCACAAATCCAAGTTCCTATCAAACACCTAAGATTATAACTACACTACAACAAAATCAAGAAAACCCGAACTTGAATTGAAGAGAAGAACTTACAGCTTCATATCGAACAGGTTCAGCTTGCTTGGCAACCCAGTTCTGCGGACGGATATTTGGGTATTCACCAAAAGGCGTCTGACCTCGGAATCCGACACGGGTCCACGGGTACAAGCCCGAATTTTCATACGGGTCGGTGACGGGCGGGTGACAGGCTGGATCCGCGGTGGCTACTGCCGAGGGAACCACCGGTTGAGGAAAAGACCAAATTGGGCTAGTGGGGTTGGATTCATAGGGAATTTGAAAGGTAAAATTGTTGGAATATTGTGGAGGAATAAAGATTGGGGATTGTGAACCGGAATGAAAGTTGGAATCCGGTGGGATTATCATTGCACAGGGTGGTGGGTTTTTGCAGAGACTCAGAGAAATGGGAATTTTGGTGCGGGAAAGAGAGGGATACATAGGGACTGCTTATAGGTGGTTGGGAGATTTTGGTTTTGGGCTATGTATCTGGGCTGGACTCGGGGTGTATTTGGGCTTGGGTTAAGGTTGACGATGAATATTTTGGTTTTTTCTTATTTTATTTTTTATTCGAAGTGTAATTGAGGTGGGAAAATCAAACCTAGAATCTCGGTTTAGTGGTAAACACTTTGAATCACTTTAACTATAAGCAGTGGCAGATGCATAGTGGAACCAAGGTGGTCTCAGGACCACTTGGAATCCAAAAAATATACATGTGAATTCCGAGGCTCCTTTGAATGTTTGATATGAGACTTTTTTGTGCTCATCAAGTGTTTGATGTAATGCATACTAAGCATATCTCGGCAGCATTCGCAGGTTGTGTTGAGAACACTAAACAAATTTTCTCGATAGAATTCATCAGGTTACTTCGGCATATGTCAATATTTGTTGACATGTGCCCAACATGGTTCGGTTGACAGCAAAAAGCCACCAAGTGTTCGACAAAATGCCTTAGTGAATAAACTAAATTTTTTTTGTACATTGGGTTCTCTGTTTCTATTAAAAAAAACTTACACCTTTATACTGGGACCCCTCAATGTTCGAATCCAAGATCTATCACAACTATAAGCCCTTGCTTTGGTTTGCCAATTCAGACAATTTGAAAGTAAATTTTGAGGGACAATAGTTTTCCAAATAAAATATGAGTTTCAACAAGGAATTCAAATATGAAGTCTTGAGTGTAGGAATAAATGCTCTTAATTACTTGAGTAACAATCATTGTAAGTTATGAATTCCACATTATTTTGAATTCATTAAAGGATAATTGAACTGGGTATAATAGTACATTATTATCTCTAGTTTGATTTCCATGTGCCTCAATAGATTAGTTTGGTTTAATTAATTTAAGACACAAATCTCGAAATTTAAATTAATCTAACGGTAATCAGTAAGGGGGTGAGAATGACCCTCAGTGAACAAAACTGCACTCATTAAATTATGAAATAATCTCATAGGCCTGGTCCACGCTTAAACCAACCTCCAAAAGACCCAGTTGATTTTGTTTTAAAGTTGACTCGAATGTGGTGACAAATATAGAAGGTAAATTTCTTGGGGAACTATTATTAGCATTTTAAAAATCTCATTATACGCTCCTCACAAATGTATTTTTCTTTCTAATTATATAAAGTTTGGAGTGCAAAATGAGAGTTTTTTTTAGTGCAAATAACAATCCCCTTTTCTTGCTTGGATATGAGAAAGCCTACTAATACGATGAGTGTAAGAGCATCCACCGGAACTTCTAAATTTCACTTTTTCACTTTTCATGGACCCTTCTTTATTTCATATTTTTTATGGGAAGTGTTATTGGCACTCCAAAAATCTCATTTTATACTCCTCACAAGTGTATTTTTCTTTCCAAATATAGAAAGTTTGGATAGTAGAATAAAATTTTTGGAGTGCCAATAACAATTCCCTTTTTTATACAGTATTTTATAATATTGACATGCAAATAATTTACCTTTTATATTGGTCATCACATTTGAGTCAACTTTAATACAAAGTTAACCAGATCTTTTGGAGGTTGGTTTAAGTATGGGCCAGGCCTATGAGATTATTTCATAATTTAACGTGTGCATTTTTGTTCATCCTGCAAAATGAGGATAATGCTCACCCTTTTACTGGTTACCGTTGGATTAGTTTAAATTTCGAGATTTGTATTTTAAATTAATTAAACAAAACTAAGCTGTTGAGGCACATGGTAATCAAACTAGAGATAATAATGATTATAACCAGTGCAACTATCCTTTAATGAATTCAAAATAATATGGAATTCATAACTTACGATGATTGTTACTCAAGTAATTAAGAGCATTTACTCCTGCACTTAAGACTTCATATTTGAATTCCTTGTTGAAACTCAGATTTTATTTGGAAAATTATTGTCCCTCAAAATTTACTTGCAAATTAATAAAGTACAAATAGGCAAATCAAAGCAAGGGCTTATAGTCGTGGTGAATCTAGGATTCGAACATTGAGGGATCATAGTATAAAGGTCTAAGTTTTTTTAATAGATATAGTGCACCCAACATACAAAAAAAAATTCAGTTCATTCACTGAGGCATTTCTTTGAACACTTGGTGGCTTTTCGTCGTCAGTCGAACCATGTTGGGCACATGTCAACAGATATCAACATATACCGAAGTAATCTAACGAGTTCTATTGAGAGAATTTGTCTAGTGTTCTCAACACAACCTACGAATTCTGCTGATATACGCTTAGCATGCATTACATCAAACACTTGGTGGGCACAAAAAGATCCCATACCAAACATTCGCAGGTTGTTCTCAACACAACCTGCGAATGCTGTTTAGATATGCTTAGTACGCATTACATCAAACATTTGGTGGACACAAAAAAGACCCATACCAAACATTTAAAGGAGCCCTGGAATTCATATGTATATTTTTTGGACTCCAAATGGTCCTGAGACCACCTTGGTCCCACTATGCATCCACCATTGCTTATAGTTGAAGTGATTCAAAGTGTTAACCACTAAACCGAGATTCTAGGTTTGATTTTCCCACCTCAATTACGTTTTGCATAAAAAATAAAATAAGAAAACACCAAAATATTCCTCGTCAACCTTAACCCAAGCCCAAATACACCCCGAGTCCAGCTCAGATACATAGCCCAAAACCAAAATATTCCAACCACCTATAAGCAGTCATGTAGCCCTCTCTTTCCCGCACCAAAATTCCCATTTCTCTGAGTCTCTCTGCAAAAACCCACCATCCTGTGCAATGATAATCCCACCGGATTCCAACTTTCCTTCCGGTTCACAATCCTCAATCTTTATTCCTCCACAATATTCCAACAATTTTACCTATCAAATTCCCTATGAATCCAACCCCACTAACCCAATTTGGTCTTTTCCTCAACCGGTGGTTCCCTCGGCAGTAGCCGCCGCGGATCCCGCCTGTCACCCACCCGGCACCGACCCGTATGACTATTCGGGCTTGTACCCGTGGACCCGTGTCGGATTCCAAGGTCAGACGCCTTTTGGTGAAGACCCAAATATCCGTCCGCAGAACTGGGTTGCCAAGCAAGCTGAACCTGTTCGATATGAAGCTGTAAGTTATTCTCTTCAATTCAAGTTTGGGTTTTTGGTGCATTTTAAATTTGGATTTTCTTGATTTTGTTGTAATGTAGTTGTAATCGTAGGTGTTTGATAGGAACTTGGATTTGTTGATCGTAATCTGTTTGTTTCAATGTCTTGTTCATAGTTGGAATGGAATTTGAAGGTTCTACCTTGAGTTGGATTATGTGGAAATTTTGATTCGATTCGATTTCTTGTTACTGAAAGGCACTACTTGTATTGAGCTTTCATCGCTTAAGAGTTCAATTCGATTTTTTCGTACTAATTTTATGTCGAATTTAGACCTGTAACTTTTCCCATTTGTTTGCATTGTTTTGATTTCGATTTGTGAAAGTCGTTGTTGGTGGTTTCACTGGTTTGCAGTCTTTCAAATCCTTGAATGAGTGTATGTCTGTGCACGCAATGGCCTCGAATTCTTTGTGGAATAGCAGTTGGACAAATCAACCTTTGGAAAATACTGCTACCATGAACACTCCACAACCAACTGTGGTTGTCCAGTCCCTGCGGTGTGATGTCTGTGATATCTATTGTACTAGCAAACCAATTTATGAGACACACATAGCGGGAAAGAAACACCAGAAGAAAGTCGCAATGCAACATAATCCCGGTGTGACTGCTGGTTCAGAATTGGAAACAAAGAGGCGTAAGATTTTGAGGGGCGGTTCAACAGTTGATTCTGTGAGGGTTTGCACCATATGCAACATTACTTGCAATAGCGAAGAAGTTTATAATAAGCATCTATATGGAAAAAGGCACAAGGCTCAGGTGAATAAAACAGTTTTTAAATAGCTTTCCTTTTAAGATTCTCCCGTCCCTTCTAGCAACTGATAAATCTTTAAGTGGTGGAACGCGTTTGCAACATTTGGTTTGTTTTCGTGCACCTACTATAGGGGTCTTTAGGTATATGAAATTAAAGCATTTTGATAGATTTGCAGTAGAAGTCTACTTCTATGCTTCATATAATTTTTATAATACTTACTAGTACTATTTCCATATACTGTGTAGGCTAGCTTAATGGCTCTAGATGGCGGGCCATATATTGCTGCAGTTGGATCTCAGTTCAATGGAGTATGGAAGAAAGACCCAAATAAAGTCAAGCTTGTTCAATCTGCATGGTGTGAAGTTTGCAAAATCAATTGTAACAGCAACGATGCCTACGTTGCGCACCTAATTGGAAAGAAACATAAGAAGAACTTGGAGCAACTGGGAAAGTCCAAGAATGATGGGAGTGCAGCTGCAACAAATGCGATAATTGGGCCAACGAAAAACCCAGGAGCAGAGTCATTAAAGGCTTCCCAGCTACAGGTTCCAAAAGAAGACTTGGAGACAAAGAAGAAAAAGGTCATATATGGAGGAGCAACAGCTAGTGCGGTCAGAACGTGTACTGTGTGCAATGTGGTGTGCAATAGCCAGACAGTTTTTAGTTCTCATCTTGCCGGTCAGAAGCACGTTGCTATGGTTAAGAAGCAAGCAGAAGCTGAAGTAGCAACTACAGGCCTATTACTGCGTCCTAAAACTCAGAATTCTGCTTTGAAATAAGTTTCGGATTTCTAATTGCTACTTCGGCTTCTACTTGTTTCTTAACCATAGCAGCATGCTTCTTACTGGCAAGATGAGAACTAAAAATTGTCTGGCTATTGCACACGATACATGTTCTGACCGCACTAGCTGTTGCTCCTCCACATATGACCTTTTTTTCTTTGTCTCCGAGTCTTCTTTTGGCACCTGCGGTTGGGAAGGTGGTTAATAGGCAATTATATATTTTTCTTACACATTTTTCTTCTTTGACACAACTATATTATTTCTATCCTTTAATTTTCCCTTAATTTACTCAATATAAAAATTAGAAATAAACAAGTGTGTGTAAAAAAGATGAAACGAGTGCGTAAATCACTGTTTTTTTTATTTTTTTTATTTTTAAATTCTAATAACTAAGATATGAATGTACATAATAATACCTTTTTTCTATCTTAGGAGCATAAATCAAAAAGATATTTAGTGTGCTGAAAACACGGCATTGTAAACTAAGTATCATAATACAAGCGGTTATGAAACTTGATATATCTGGTTGTGTTTTAGCACACTCGAAAATCTCTCTTTTCTCTGTATTATCATTATTTATGTGTTGCTTTCTTGACAAAGCAGTTTTAGCTACCAGAGCAAAGTGAAACAACCACTTCTGAATTCCACATAATATTGCCACGCAAAAAAACTTAAAACTAATATATGATTAATGTAGTCCCTCAACAACTGTTAATTGTCGTAAAAATACATTAAAAATCAAACTACATAAAAGACAACCATCACTTGGCCAATAACTTGCAAAAATTGTAAGGTGCAAAGAACAGTTGAGTCAGAAATCAAAACGGTGTTCTAAGTGTTTTTGACTAAGACAGAGTTTTCGGGAAGTTAATTTGTTAAGCACCCTTGCATTAAATCATGGAGATTAGCACTAATCTACATAATGACTCGAACTTGATTTCAGAGGATGGACGCACTAATTTAGCCAATTTGAAAGTAAATGAAATTAACTATTTAAGAAATGTTAAGAAGATTCTTTCAAAATAAAATTTTCCATGAATTCTTTAATAACTCACTGTTTAACGTCAATTATTACGCTTATATCACACCACGTCAAAAGTACGATGCTGACAGACTATTTATAAAATCACCTTGGCTTTTCTCGATGTTTTTATTTTTCGGAGTGAATAAATTCGAATTTGATAGAGCTTTGTTTTTTCTTCTTGACCCGACCTGAACTTTTCTTCTTGACCCGACCAGAACATTTGCCAGCTGAGGTGAGCTACCTAGCTCTACTCCGCCTCCGCCGGACCCACTGATACCGAAACTGAGCTGGCCTTTTTGCGAAACCCAAAACTTCATCATTTAAACAAAACGGTATTCTTCGAATTTCCCAAACTTCTCCCAAACTCCCAAGCTCAAATTCTGATTCGTTTCACCCAAAACCCCTCCAACTCACCTCAGGTAAAGGTAGCAAAGCTTCTTACTTTACTCTCTCTCTCCCTCTCTCTCTAGGTTCGGATATTTCGATGGGTTTTGATTAAGATACCCCTTAAAGTTCTCATATCTAATGGGCCTATCCCAAATTTTTTTTTTTTGCGAAATTTTCAGTTAACTTTTTGATTTTTGTTTTGCTAAGAATTTAACCTTTTGTTTATATTCAGATAATTTATTAGAATTTAGACCATGGCAATCTGCTTTTTCTTTTAAATTTTAATAAATAATTATGATTATGCAGCCTAATTTATTGGATTGGAACATTTAGCGAGTTTTGTGGTGTGGGTAATTTTTATGATGGATGTTGATGTTGGTCTTGTGAATTTTAGATTTTGGGCTACTAGGGAGCTCAAATTATATAGCTTTTTAGTAATTGCACAAATGTCAAGCACAAGCAGCAGTAGCAGCAGCAAGAGGAATAGTGAGAGCTCATTTGATGTTGAGGAACTCCTTCAAATTGGGACAAGATGCAGAGAGGTGCGGTTTTTGTCTCCCTTTTTTTTGGTGTAATTTCGAAGATGGATCATTTGGAACATAAGAAATAATATTTGCTTTGGATATTGTCTAGCATGAGATATATTGGTTATGGATGTATTAGTTATGTAAGTAAAAGTTTTACTGTGAATTATATCGTCACAAGCTGCTTGAGACAGTAACCGTTGCAACTCTGCTAGTACTTTCCCATTTCATTGTATTAGTTGGTGTCTTGGTTTGTTCAATATTACTGTTTGTGGAAGTTGATAAATTTTGTTTATGCAGCTAAAGAAAGAGAAAGACATGTTGAAAGAATCACAATCCCAGAGCTTTGGGCTGATCAGGGTAATGTTCATGTTTTTATTTACATTCAGCATTTGTCAACTGTGGATGTCATTCACGCACTCCCTGTAGGGTTTCTCAGCCAAATTTATAACTTGTTTGTATTATGGATAAGTTTGAATTGCCCCCAGTGATGAAGTTTGTAGTGCTTTCATCCACCGTTTCTGTGTTAAGAGAACGTGAGGCATGTGGGTGTAGTTAGGTTAGAGGTCTGTGGGTCTTTTGCTTCGTGCAAGAGTGCTTATCGGTGCCGTATAATTTTTTGAGTGGCTAAGTTTGTTTTGCAGTTAAAGTTCCTTTCTTTAACACCAGATGCATGTTTCTCACAGTGGCACATCAATCAAGAAAATAATAGAACAAAATACGGAAAAATGTGGGCTGGGAGCTTGGGTGGTTTTGTTCTTGTCTACAGATGTTAAATAAATGGGAAAATTCAAGCAAAAGATTTCGTTGAAGCTTTAATGAATTATTTTCTCTGGTAGAGTATCTGATTTCAAATTTGGTTTGTTCAGAGATTAGAAGTGCATGTGAATTCGTTATCAGAAGCTTGCACAGAAGACAAGAAACAAATTCAAATGTTAGAGAAAGAACTCAAGAACTGCTCTCAAGAAATAGGTAGTCATCTACTCTGACATTCATTTCCTGAGACCGTCAATTTCCTATGGTTGACATTGTGAAAGATGCTTTGTATTTCAAAATTTGTAATTTGCAGTTTATAATCGATGATCTTTGGTGCTAGATATATCAAAGTACCAAACTGTTGTAATTATTTTGAATTTAACCCATCAAAACATTTATCACAGATTACCTGCAGGATCAACTAAATGTAAGGAACACTGAAGTGAACCTCCTTGAAGAGCATGTACATAGCCTTGAGTTTAAATTAGCCGATATGGAAACTTTACAAAAGATGGTTGACGGGTTAAGGACTGAACTTAAGAAGTCCTATACAGATCGCTTGTACTTAATACAGGAACTAGAAAACAAAGAAATAGAGTTACGGAATTCAAATTTGTGCATGGAGAAACTGGAGGAGTCAGTTTCATCCATGTCATTAGAGTCTCAGTGTGAAATAGAGAGTATGAAGCTTGATATATTGGCCTTGGAGCATAGCTGCTTTGAAGCTAAGAAAATACAGGAAGAAACTGTTCGAGAAAATACTAGGATGAGTCAGTTAATTCAAGCTCTTGAGGTTCAATGTTGGGATTCCAAGAAAACTGCTGAAACTTTTGAAATGGAAAATAAGGAACTTAGGAAGAAGCTTGATACATCGGAGACAAATACAAGGATATTCTGTCAGAGAGTTGAAAAATGGCTGGAAATGGACAGAGATCAACTCGATACTGAGTCCTTGTTGTGTGAACTAGAGGGAAAGCTTGCGTTGTCAGAGGAAATGAGGTATGCTACTATTTACAGTTACTTCATTCTTTACCGATTAACTTACACTAGTATAATAACTACTATTATCACCATAAGCCAGTTCATCTTTCCAAATTCATCTAAAAATAGCTTTTTCTTAGTAGTTAACTACTTATGTAGTAATATTTTGATGATTTTTCGAAAGCACGTATGGAGAAGTCTTGGGCCCCCTCTTTTCCAAATTGGCAATGGTAGTCACTCCAGATGCAGCTTTAATAAAGAAGGTGGAGAAGATGTCACGTCAGATAGAAGAGTACGAAGTTCTTGTGAAGCAACTAAAGGTATGTATACCCAGGGAGGCATAAAACAATTGATTTTACGGTGTTTATTAGAAAGTCTATGTACAGTCTCAGATACAGCTTTTCTGACCCGTTCCATAAACTCTACAATCAAGCTTTCGAGTGTGAATTCAATCAGTATTGTCCTTTCCGAGTTTTGAGGTTATATAAATTAATTATATCTTTTAAGTGTTACATTACTTATGGTTGTTAGGAAGAACTGAAAGAGGAAAAGTTGAAGGCAAAAGAAGAAGCGGAGGATCTAGCTCAAGAAATGGCTGAGCTCAGATACCAAATGACAGGGTTACTTGAAGAAGAGTGTAAGCGCCGTGCTTGCATCGAGCAAGCATCGTTACAAAGAATTGCTGAGTTAGAAGTACAGGTATTGATGCTTAGATTTGTAATGTATGCTTCATTTACCCGTGAGAGGGCACATCTGAAATGTATAATCTTGTTTCTGTGACAAGATTCAAAAAGAACGGACCAAATCCATTGCTGCTCTCCGACAGCTTGATGAAGCATAGTGATGCACTGAAGGTGATGCTCGAAGGTAGTGGTATTCCCCGGATTACATGGTTATTCTAGTGTCAGCCCTCACTCTTATGGTTATGCTCGCAGTACTTGCATCCAATTTTTTCGGATTGGGAGATTCCCATGTATCCAAGTACTTATTTAGAGGGGGGTTGTTTTCTCCGTTTACCGAAGATATTATGTAGTTCCGAGGAAACAGGCTGCTGTGGACCTGTGGTATGCCGGCTTTTAGTGGCGGTTTGTGATCAGCGGTCACTGAAGCGCTCTTGTTGTACTTACCCTTGTTAGCCGTGGGGAATAAAGTACAAAAATCTTGGTACTTGAGAATTTAATTTGTGGATGTTGAAGTTGCTTCATAAACTATTGATTTGAAAGTGTATAAAATGTCCACTGTTTGGTTGCTGAGAAAATGGACTTTTGGACTCTTATGTATGCATGTATTCATGTATTGTTTGGGGTTTGGTAGGAAAAGAGTAAGGTCCAGCCAACCGAACCGAGTCAGAATGCATGATGAGAGTATTTTCTGGAATGTGATTCTTTTCCTTGCATTTTCTTAGCAACCAAACAGGCCAGATGGTTTTTTTTATTGAGTCACACAATTTGTGTGTTGGATTCATAATATTTTATATATACATATATATATATATATAAATATAAATATATAGATATATTTCTTTATCAAATTTCTTTGTCAAAGAGCCGGCCCTTCTCATACGAGATAAGGGAAAGGGATACAATGATGGTGACTTTTCTCATAATTAATTAGTAGGTTTTTCGGGGACCAAAAAGTAAAAAAGTTGTTGGCATTTCCACAATTTCTGAAACTTGGGAAATTGGAAGCAGAAGTCATTTTCTCTTTCAAAAATGTTACTCTTACCACATTCTTCATTGCATTTGTACAATCTTTCTAAATAGAGATGAGATTACTAATAAGTCTATGAATGAAATTATTGTTTTTGATTAAAGAGTTTTTCTTTATACAATGATTTGGCGAAGTGAATTTGTATTAAGCTACTTGATGAACTAGTCATAACCGGGTATTGAACTTACCAGTCAATAGAATTGAATTTGAGACCTACCACTTATATATGGACATAAATACTACTAAATTAGAGGACTAATAACATTAAGCGTAATCTTTTTGTTTGTTATTTTGTTATAGTCGAAAAACTTACAGAGTACGCGTTAGCGGTACTAGTTGTTACTTCTTAAAAAAGATGGACTCATGTTATGAAAATTACATTAATATTAAAGCAATATTATAAAGGGTGGTGCTATCTACACTTCTTTTTACTTTTGTATGTTAATTTTTGTCTATTGATCTTCAATTCATTTAATTAGACAATTGAAAATTAAAAAGAGTTTAGAATCTAAAACGAGGCGAGTGGATAATACCTTCCTATTCTGAATCATTCTGAATTACAGAAAAAACAATTCGGCTTGAATACAAAGGAGTGGACGCAATAAAACACACAGGGACATGACTTAAAAGACATTGACTTGGTACTTTGGTAATAATTGCAAAGGATAGTACCAACTTGCCGAAGGGGATTTATTTCCAAATAATTGAACACCAACTTGCCAAAGGAGATTTAATTACAAATACTCAAAGAAGAAGTCCAAATTGATTCATAAGTTTAAAGAAATTTTTTTATATATTTTACAATAAAAATTGAGGAATAAATTAATTTTAATTTGTTAATAATAAAATTTAAAAATTAAACTCGTAATACTAAATCGCAGAAAACAAACAAAAGCAAAGAACGTTGCAATTTCCATCTTCAAAGACTACGCTTTGCGCCTCGGAGGCAGATTGTCTGCCCTTCTATTTGAGTGTTCTTCCTATCCCTTCCTTTTTGTTCGATGATGGTTAAATCACGTTATAAAATGTTGATATGACTTAATCGTGACGGTACAAAATAAAAAAAACAAAAAAGGATGAAAAGGGCACCCGAGGCGTTCTGCCTCCTTGCGACTCCGTGTCTCGCCGAGTCTTGACCTTTGAAACTTCCCTCTTTCCCACTCTTTAAATCTCTCTCTCTCTCTCTCTCTCTAAAAAGATCTGGTCTTTCCTGCGAGACAGTTTACGATTTCTCAGGTACCCAAATCCTTCTCTTTGAATCGATTTCTTGGATTCTGCTTCTGCTTTTTTCCACAAGAGGTTTGCTGTTGTTATTCAACGGTCAACTTCTCAATTTTTAATTTCAAATTCCCCAGTTCTGAAATTATCTACATGCGTTTTGTGACTTTCTTGTTTGGTTGCTGAGAAAATGGAGGAAAACTCAAGGAAAATGGAATTTTGGGTTATTTTGCTTGTGTAGTTGGGGTTGTTGAGTAATGAACAAGGTCAAGTTAACCAAATCAAATTGTTTAGTTTTCTGTGATACCCAGAAATTCTGGAATTTGATTCTTTTCTTTGTTTGGTCTTAACAACCAAATTAAGCAAATGGGTTTGTTGGGTTTGTGATAAAATATTGTAGATGCTATTGTTTTAGGTTTGATTTCGTCCTTTGATCTCGTTTTAAATTTTCGACTTTTCAATTTCTGTTTGTTTTCTGAGTAGTTTGTGTGGCTTGATTTGGTCCAAATTATTCACTTGTGTTTTCTTCTCTGTGAATTTTTTCAATGATGGTGTTCTAGTGTATTTCTTCAAAATTGATCCTTCTGTGTTTGAGCACCGATGCTTATGTCGAACATCTCACGTATTGTTCTTGTTTGCTTTTCCAGGATTGCTGTTGGTCTCTGAAAAGATTCTGAATTACCGTTGTTTCAATTTCGTTTACGATCTTCTACGCGGCCCAAGTAAAGTGTTGACATTTTTCCATCGAAAATGTTCGGTTTAAAGAAGTCTCCTTTGAAGACTGCCAAACATATCACACTCGATCCTGTACATCCTGCTTCCTCTGGCTCAAATCCTTTTGAGGATGCACCAGTTGGACAGAATGCAAGCACCAATCCATTTGATGATGAGCGAGGACAAGAGAACTCTGCTTCCTATGCATACAAGACTGCTTTGACAGAGAGGAACAAATACAAGAATGATTTCCGTGACACCGGAGGAGTACAGAATCAATCAGTGGAAGAGTTGGAGAACTATGCAGTGTACAAGGCTGAGGAGACTACAAAAGCAGTCAACGGCTGCTTGAAGATTGCTGAAGAAATAAGAGAGGATGCTACCAAGACTTTGGTCACGTTGCATCAGCAAGGCGAACAAATCACTAGAACCCACATGGTTGCTGCAGACATAGATCAGGATCTTAGTCGGGTATGGTTTATCTGATCCAGTTAAAAATATATACCTGATACATCAAGAATCTAAGTGCATATGGAAAGTTAGGACTTGAAAGTATAATGTCTTTATAGTTTTATTCTTTCTACTTGCAGTTAGCATAGTTAATTACTTATTTGACGTAGAATGTACCGTTGGAGTTCATGGTTTTTGTCTATGAAATTCTTGTTATTGCAAGTGACCTTGTTCATGCATGTATTGTCCGTCTGTATTTACAATATCTCTGTTTGTTTTTTGGTCTTGATTTCTGTCAGAAATTCCCCATTCCAAACCCCGGTCTCCTCCTGGATAGAGTTTGATTTTATCTTGTGTAGACGTTTTTCCTTTTTGTGTACTATTGACGATGATTTGCTGCTCGACATACATTGGCTTATAATGGATCTGACTACTGATGATGATAACTGCTTTGTACAATAGCTTCCTACACTATTCTCTTCTCTTACTAAAGAATTATGCTTCTTTTAGATTTGCAGTCGGCTTTCAACAACTCCTATCGTTCTGTTACTGTTTCTTTTGGTATATACGAAGATCTTGTTCAGCAAACTGAACAATTTAACTTGCTTATTTCAGGGTGAAAAGCTTCTGGGAAGTCTTGGGGGCATGTTCTCTAAGACGTGGAAGCCAAAGAGGACTCGCCCAATTAGTGGCCCTGTCATCACAGGAGGTTAATTTTCTTTATTTTTTTCTATGTCCATGACTTACATGCTCCATCTTTGTTTTCCCCGGAAAATGTAATAATGTCGTCAGTTTGCATTGGAAAATAGTAAAATTTCATTCCAAAAATTGTTAAATGCAGATCACGCAGTCAGAAGGGGTAGCCAGGAGGAGAGGGAGAAGTTGGGACTGACTCCAGCACCCAAGGGAAGATCTAATCCCCGAACACTACCTGATGGACCAACCAGCGCCCTTCAGAAAGTTGAGGTTTGTATTTGTTTTAACTTGTTACTAATAATTGTAACTGTAGAGAACAAGAAAGGATATTAACTGGTTTTGTCTGCTTGGCATATGAAATGCTTTGTTCTTGCTCAAATCTTCTGGATGTCTAACTTTTTTGGCTTAAACAGGTTGAGAAGGCGAAGCAAGATGATGGATTGTCCGATTTAAGTGATCTGTTGGGAGAGCTGAAGGATATGGCTGTCGATATGGGGTCTGAAATTGAGAGGTAAGTTATGATGTTTCCGATATGCAGGGTTGCCTCGATATTTATATTTTTTCTATACCTTTATTTGCTCATCCAGCCCGGGTCTTTTTTGAGGCAACGTAGAACCATATGTAACTAGTTACTCTAATGATAATTGCAGGCATAACAAAGCTATAGACGGTGTCTACGATGATGTTGATGTGATAAATGGCCGTGTTAGAGATGCAACTCAACGTGGTCGTCGCTTGCTCGGAAAGTAGAATGCAGGGTTGTAGATGGTTGCCTGGACGGACCGGCTTGTATTTGCGTCTCCTTCCCGTAGCCCTCGTTATTTTTCCCCATTTATTGATCTGGATTTTGTATAAAACTTTGTTCGTCGATCACGAATTTGAAGGATAAATTGATAAAACGATGCCTTTTCCTTGTAAGTTGTTTTCTGCATATGATTCCAGAGCTACACAAAGTAATGAGCTTTGCAAACTCGCAATGGAAGAAAATAATTTCTGAAGGAAAACCGTAACCGCATCTCAAGCTAATTATAAATGAAAGACACGTGACAGTGCGGGATTGATATGAATAGTTTTCAATTGATGGGTTTATGTTTGAGGTCCATGATGCTGGTCATCTTTTGGGGGGGGGGGGGGTGGTGGTAGAGCTTGGACACGAGTTCTTGCCTTTTAGCGACGTCCAGCTGGCCCTGGCCGTCGCAAAAGGCTGAAGAGAGGTGAGACGGCTCGGAAAGGGACTTGAGGCGTCGGCGGTGCGGTGCTGGTGTACTCTCTGACGTAGTCGGAGAACTGCCTTGCCGTACGGAGTGGCGACCAGAACAGCCGCAGCACCTCCGCTTTTGTTGGAGGCGACGCCATTGGGGAGAGAGAGAGAGAGAGGGAGATCTATTCTAAAATGAACATGTCGTTTTATTATAAAATAGAATTTTTGACAGAAGTAATAGAAAGATCACGCTGATTCGCGACATTCAATTTCAAAGACTGCATTGATCGATTTTTAATTTCAAGATCATCTTGATGGGATGACTCAATTTCATGAACGATTTGTGATAAAAACAATTTCTTTTGTTGTTTCTAATCTATTTTTCATGAATAAATTCTAGCCTTAAAAGCCCTTCGCTTATTTTAAAAATAATTGGAAAATATTTCTTTGTCCAATTGTGGGTTAGCGGGTAGTTGGTCATGTTAGTACGTCTCATTTGCATTCAAGTTCGAATTCTCTTTTCGATCGATTAAAGTAGTTTCAGTCAATTAAGTTAGTTGGCTAAAACAATGCACAAGCCTTTTGCACCTATGTCCAAATTCCACTAGATTAGAGCATTATGATACCGCAGCATTAAAAAAAAAAACCATTATAAACGCAAGTAACTTATTATAAACTCTTTCAATTTAACAGAAAAGATTACAACATAAAAAGAATACAAAATATCACTTATGACGAAGGTACTTATTTGCCTTGTTTTATTGCACAAAATTACAATTTCCATTTGCCTAAAAAATTCCTGCAACTTTTAGGTGTCTGCTACCTAAAATTAAACGTAAGTCATGGTTGGGTTGAGCACACAAAAATCATAGACAAGCTTGCGCATCGAAGTAAGGTAACACCACAAACTTGATGGACAACGGGGCGATTGTTAACGGAGCTTTCATGTCAACACGAGCGGGTTCCAATTCTGGGATGTTTCCGTCCTTGGTGATCTCCAATGGCGCTCCGTTGAGAATCATGGTTTTGCTTCTGAGGTCCCCATCTTTTGGTGTCAAATGGTACTCTTCTCTGCAAATTGCTTCATCTAACGCTTTGCGTCCTACCCATGACACCGTTCTCTTCAGGCCGCGCTTGAAATAACTTTCTTTGCTAATGTTTCTTGTGTGAGCACCCAAATCGGTGTCCAAAATGTTTTCATCATTGGCAATGAAAGTAGTCTCATTGCTCAAGTTGATGAGGAGTAGAGTTATACCGGCCTGCAACAATACCGAAAAATAATCATGAACTACTAAGAGAAAGAACAATGTATTCACTTGTTACGTAAAGGTTGAAATGCTTCTTGGACTTACTCTTCCCCTTGTACAATGGGCATAAGTGCGTAAATCTGCTGAACCGTTGTTGTGAGCACTAAGAACTCCTTGTCCCATAAGACGATGCCAGAGAAGTGCACTATTCAGAATAACAAATCGGAGAAAACAAAATTCAGGACCCCTTTATATCAAGTAAAAGAAAATCCTTCTTAAATACGCCCGTGCCTATGCTTTACCTATAGTAATCAGGGTTAGGAACAAAAGATGTTTTGTTGAGAAGACCGTAGTTCCCACCAACTAGAGACTGCCTGCAATATACTCTGGTATTGTGCCTTGCTGACATTCCGAGCTGATCCAAGTACCTAAAGTTCATGTAAATAGTAATTGTAGTTAGTTGATTAAACAAAATTACAGACACCAAAGGTGAATAGCTCCTCTTCTGCGACCAAAAGCTCGTGATGGAAAAGACACAATGTTGCAAGTAATGTGGCAACCAAGATTATTACCAAAAGCTGTTCACAAATGTGTCAGACACATTACGACCACCGCTGTTGTAGGCCCCTCCAGCTTCTCCAACCCATATAGAAGTCCAAGGACCGTTCTTTTTCACAGTTAGTTCAAGATCATGGAACAGCCCGTATGCATGATTCAAGTAATGGGGATTCAATATTTTTTTCACCAACTTGGGATCAACACCTGACAATCGAATAAAATACAATCTAAGCACGTATTATGTAATTATAAACTGCACATTTATTAAAAGTTTAACATGCTAAGTTACCTGCACCCAGATTGTAGATATGCTGAGAGATGATATCGACTGTGCCAGAACCAGTAACCTGAAGAAGCCTGGCAAACCATGATTGGTCAAAGAATCCTCCAGGTGCCATAAGTGCAGGTTTAGCAACGGACTCATTGTACAAATGGTTGATGATGTGTTTAAGCTTGATCAAATCTCTTCCATATTGTCCAGCTCCAACACTAGCTCCAATACCACTTCCACTGAGCTCATTTCCTACAGCAACATAAACAAAAACTCAGTGAAGCAAAACGAAATGAGAGGGAAGAAAACGAGGTTTTTCTATAGTTCATACCAAATTCCCATGAATCTATCTCGTATCTCTTCGAGACGGTATAATTAATAAAATCATAAGCGTTGCTAGAGTCCCATTCTCCTACCCAAACTCCCCCGCCTTTGTGGTGCCTCCCCAACAGTGCATTCAAGCTAAATGTGACGATGGACCTAAAAATGTAAGACAAAAATCATAGGTCAAACCACAAGTAAGCACAGAAGAAGACGCGGCTTTTCTTACTTGTCTTCAAATATTTGGTTGGTCGGGGTGGAAAGTTGATAACTAGAAGTCTAGAATCTTACCTTGTTTTGCTGAAAAACTGGTTCAACTCATCCCATCTACTCATATTTAAACATCCTCTAGAAAATCCAAACAAGCCATTCTCCAGCTTTCTGAAAGGATGGCAAGGATATTTCAAATTTCCAACATTGTACAATAGTTGGTCTTCCAAGGAACCTCCAATTCTGATTCTCAACTGATCGAAAGCTATCAAACCACCAGTATAAAAGAGTAACTTAATAAAATGTTATTCTAACAAATAAAACTAGAAGACTCTAATTCATTAGTTCTAAATGACATGAAAGTCTGATTCAGAACTAGTGTAAAGGATGCGAACTAATTAACACGAACAGACAAACCTTGGATTGACTTGGCTAGCAAAGGATGAGACAAGTTCTGGACAAAAGGAAACCACATTAAGTTCTTTTCTTACTATTTTACATATAGAGAAAAAAAATCAAACGCATACAGAGATAATATCTAAGTCCTTACCAAATTTAACGCGGATGAATGTCCCCATGGACAGTGGCCGTAGTTGCACTTTTCATTATTCCACCAATCAATCGTGGCACAAACAAAGTTATTGTCAACTCGTGCAACAGATAAAATGCCGTTAACCACAACCTTAACATTTTCAACATTATTAGCTTTTCCAAATTCTTGAGCTAAAATTGCAGGGAGAGAAACCAGAAAGAGGACCAAGGAGAGACGGAATTCCATTGGAATTTCAGTTGCAGTAGTCCCGCCACCAACTCAGTCAATTCAAATTAACTGCAACAGGAGAAAGATAAACCTTTGAATGAGAAGCATAGCAGATAGTGTGTCGTGCCACTTGACATATTCCTAAGGGACATGATTCTCAGCTTCTATAGAGCATATAAAAATATCAGCGTACGCAAAAAAGTATCATTGAAAAACTGCAAATAGAGAAAGAAAGGCATCATCTTTCGGACACGAAAGTAATTTCTTGAGTAAAGATTTCGGATTCCGAGGAAGATCCAGTGATAATTAGATCACTGGAAATTTCAATTTCTTGAGTATATACATATATTTGAGAATCAGAACACTACCAAAGAACTAAGCCAATCCAAACTGGGGGATGCCGGATAGCATACATACATACATACATATATATATATTTATATGCTTTACAATGGTGGCATTGCCATAAATGAACTTTTATTCGGATTAATGTTGTTGCCTGCTGTAAAAGCAAGGCACAAATATTTGAAGTTGCATTAGGTGAAGAGAAACGAATGGATAACGCGCGCGCGCACACACACACATATATGAAGAAGGGCATTTCACCAACAAAATTCAAGAGAAATATACGCAATCCAATTGAGAATTATCACAAACAAAAGCAGATTTTCCTTGGAGACTTCAGATTTCAAGGATAAATCAGTATGTGAAGAACTAAAACGAACCAACCCAGATAATATTTGATCAAAACAAATCAAACCCATGTCAAAACCAAGCTCAAAGATTGAAAATTTACCATCGACAACGCCATTAATGAAGCTCGAGCTCAAAGGAAATGCAAATCAATTCTTTAATGCTGTTCAGCTAATCAAACCAGCTTTCTCAGTCCCCAATGGGAGATGTCGGCATTGCCAGGCGATTCAAAGAAATGGAAACCGCGTTGGGTGAGATGGGTCTACCAAAGTTTTAGATTGAGCCGCATATGAACTGTTCATATCATGTGAGGCTATGGCACACTGATGCGGTGTACTGTCGACAAAAAGACAAAGAAAAGACAGATGATTTGATGGGAGTAGATTAAAGAGTTAAGTACAATAATTAGAGGAAAGGTTAAGATCTTACAGAGTATAATCATATTTATTAATTATTAATTAGAGATGAAAGCGAGAACTTTTGGTTGGATTTGCGTGCAAATTTTATTAGCAGATATTCCTCCCACTCTGTTGAGGCTGTTGAGCTTATCTTTGTTTATTAGCAGGATTCTGGAGGGTAGGTTTTTTAAGTTGAAGGTGAGTTCTTATTTTACTTTTATCTTTTGAGAGATAGAGGCTCAAGTCAAAAGTGGTAAAACGAGATCTTTGAAGGTTTTGAAAAAGGTTATAAGAAAAGATATTTAGTATTTGGAGTTAACGAAAGATTTGATACAAAACTGACCGCAACATCGATGTAGAATTCATAAAATGGACTCCACTTAATATAATAAAGCTTGATCGTTGATTTCTTATCTTCGAGAGGCTTTATCTTTACTCATATGTAAAGTGATAACAACACCAAATGTTCTCTTACAATAAAAGTTTGTGTAGGGTTCCGGATTCCTTCCTCCTAATTCACTAAGTTCAGGAATCCGGATTGTTGAAATTTGATCTAACAGTTAAAGTCATTATAACTTTTAAAGTGGGCTCCTGTTTGTTTATAGTCATTGGATCAAATTTCAACAGTCCAAATCCTCAAATTTGATGGATTAGGAGAAAGTGATCTGAAGAGAATACCTTTCCTAAAGGTTTTTGCTTTTGTTGTTAGGGAATGTTTTTAAGTTTTTAGTATTTTATGATTTTGACCGTGGTTTGACCAAAGTGGGAGTTTGTTTGGGGTTGATTCCCTTAAGAAGCATTTTTGTTCATAAGTGCCTGTAATGAAACTGTTTTTTAATTAAAAATTCACAAGTGCTTCCTAATGAAGTATTTGGCATGTGCTACTTTTTATTAAAAAAGCTTATACATGTCAAAATAGTCAAAAACGCTTTTAATTATCAGAAAATACGTTTGTTTGTTCTAAATGAATCTCAAACGTACGTTACTTTTTTCGCGCTTCCTATTCATATATGTGACTGTGAAAAGTTAAGATTGCGTGCAACTTGTGTAATCTCTCTGTAATTCCAAGCTACTTTCTATTTCAAGTTTCAACTCGAACTTATATTATTTATTACGCCATTTAAATTTTGAAGTTACATAAAAATTTTGCACTCAATTAACACCGTCAACTAACTTAAAAATTACACTAAATTTTGGCAGTCAAAGCCACTTAAATTGAGAGAGTCCAAAAAGATTGGCCTAACAAACAAAGCTCAATACCAAAAATTTCGGTTCCATTTTTTAAATAACCGAAACTTTAGTTTGGTTTTTGGTTTGACATTTTGGAAAGCAGCCATGGTCTTTACAGTGGATATTATTAGGTGCAAAACTAGGCGGAATATTACTGTTATTAATTATTGTTAGAAAACCCGCACAAATAGGCCAAATTGGATTAATGGTCATCGTGTAATCCATTACAAAGATTTTTCTCTTAACTGGTGGTAATATTCATCATTTTATGTTCATTAAATATTAAATTTCAAGTGTAATCCCCTAACTATATTTCTAAGTTCGTTTAAGTTCATGCTTAATTTGTAAGTACTAGTCAGTTGAATTGATTAAAATGCACATTTTAATATAATAAGTCTAAGAAAATTGTCACTTGATACTACGGTCTGGTGATATTTCTCTTCAATTGGAAGTAAGAGGTCTTAGGTTTAAATTTCGTAGATGACGAATAAGATACCAAATTAGATTGTTAATTGTGTAACTTAGCCGAAATCTCTCTTAGGGTAGGGCATTTCATTAATTCATGGGGTTGGTTCCCACCGCCATCATTTCGAGAATATATTTGTAGCGCTAAAGAGTTGGTAGATTAACACGACTCTTGAGTATTTTTAGATTAACTATTTAATGCTCAAAATCTATTAATTTTGTGAGGGGTGTGATATTTACACACATCTTTTTACTTCTCATAAGCTTTTCTAATTTTCGGCATTCGGACTTGATGAATGGAAGAATATCAAATGACAAAATTTAACAAGGGATCTGTGTGCTCTCTACACACCCCTTTTTGTAGTTCTTCCATTAACTAAAACATATCCTTTATAAGCTAAAGTTAATGCACTCAGATTCTGTGTTGTATCTTCACTACGTATAAGCTTGTGAGTTGTGAAATATGTTTTCCATTTGAAAAATAATATAAAATAAAATGATGGCTATTACACTGGGTTGAAGTATATTGTATGGATGATTAAGTAGCTAATGGAAATTTAAATTACTTACTTTTTACGATAACTGGTACACCAGAGGTGCGTCATTCCGATCCTCTTGTTCTAGGGGGAAAGGTCCTTGCAATGCTCAAACGCCTCACATATAATACCGGTGAAATATGAACACTACCAGTAACGAATACTATGAAATGACTTTCAAGTTAATCTCCAAGAGATGAACACCCCAACTGGATTTTTAAGTTTTTTTTTTTATGCATGTGATACTGATCGTCCTGAGAGGTACGAGGGTGATATAGGCTGTCACACGACCAGGTTGTGGATGTTTTTGTGGAGCTGTTGAAGTCCGGAATCGAAAAAATGTAGCAGAACAAGTTGCAACTTGAAGTCATCTGATTTCACAGATGAGCCTGTTGACGATGATGAAGACGAGGATGTTGAGCATTTCGTAACTGAGGCTGGAGAGTGTTGCATTCTCTCCCAAACACTACGAGGACGACCACCACGTCCGCGCCATTTTTCTGAGCGAAAGCGTTGCGAGGAGGTTTCTTCCGCCGGAATCAGATCAATCAGAAGGTGGGAGAGGCTGAAGATGGAGGCTTTGCTGCCTTTGAACTACGTAATACATTCGTAAATGCAAATTTTGCGTAGCTCGGTGGAGGTGAAACCGAATAACATCACACATTGCATGCAGTACTTTTAACATGTCTTTTGTGGGTTTCATTTAGAGAGAGGATGCATTAATTACTATACAATTCAGTGAATTCAGAGAGTAAATTATGAATGTTTTTGTCCTACTTCTTGAACATGATTCAGTTGTGTCATCAATTATATATTGAACTGGAACTGATTGAAGTTGATTATGTTTGGATTTCGAACCCTAATGTTCCTATGCTCACATTGGAAACCGATTTGGATGCACTACGTGTCAATGTTATACACGTTGTCTAATTTTGTCAAGGATTATGTTAGTGTGCTAATGTAGAACACATATGACACCCCAAATGCTAATCATACGACACCACTTTATGTTACTAATTAAAGAAAGTTCAGTAGGTATTATCATATATACACCGGATAATTCAATTCAGCTAGTTATTAATAGGCAAATTCAAAGTTTTACTAATTATTAATGGTCAGAAGTTCAAATTACTTATTTCTCCGAAACAAGAGATCAAAGTGATTTTCCTCATTTTTCCCAATAAGTCGACGGTGTTACACCATTAGAATACTTCAAATAAACTAGAGTACATATAGGATACATCGATATGTACTCAAGATGTCTTTCAAATTGTTGGGGTCGTTGCTCCGGATGTTGTTTCCCCGGTGTGAAACCAGTTGGTTTCGTAGTTTTAGAATTCTGCTGATTCCTTATGTGTATTTTGGTATACTATGTCAAATCAAATCATTATTGGATTAAATTACCTCAAATCCATATTTGAATTGTTAAGCAAATTGATTATAAAACTCAGATTATTAATTAATTATCCTAGTGGTTATGTTTACTGTTTTTTAACAAACGGTTATATATACATCAAAAAATAAGCTAAGTTTTATAATACATTTGTTATAATAATGTGATTCAACTTCGTTGGCGATAGTCGAACATAAAAAATTGGAACAAACACAATTGTACATTTGAACTCCATGGGCAAACCAGTAAATTAACTTGTTTGCACAACTCCTCACTCTCTCACCGACTCTCATCTCACTCTTCTTCTTCTTCCCTCCGTTCCCCAAACCAAAAAATTATATATAAAAAAAAAAAAAATCTTTTATTCAAATTCGCCAATCTCCAACACAAAAGTCAAAATTCCACATTCCCAATTTCCTTCTAAATTCCATTTCCCCAGAGTTTCTGTTCCGTCTGAGCTGTCATCCCCCTTTATGCTACCGAAAATCACTTTCCCAAATTGTCTCATCAAACAAAAACAATCAAAGTTCCAAACTTTCCCAAATTTTTCTTTGAATTAAATCCTTTTCTTTGATTTGGGGATGAATTTAATTGGGATTTGATCAATTGGGAAATGGAGAACAGTGGAGAAGCAGCAGATGATGAGGGCTCTGGATGGTTCGAAGTGAAAAAGGTGCAATTTGTTTGCTCATTTTTCTTCAATCAATGGAATGTTGCAGATTTTGATGGATTTTGATTATTGTATTTGGTAGAGATTATTTTTCTGATAATTAATTGGTTAAAAGCAATTATCTTTGGATTATAGTCGTTGAAATGCATGAAACCCAGAAACTGTTTGCTCTAATTACCATTTACCAAGTTTATCTTTGCATATCAAGATTGTATTTCTCAGATTTTATCTCTGTAAGTGGAAATTGGAGGATGAAATCGATTGCGTTGTTGTTCGTATGTGATGTGACATTTTCGTTCTACTGGTAGATAGATATCAACCGAAATGTTGCAGATTTTATATGTTTTTTCCGGATAGTTATCGATCAATTCCAGTGTCACTGACGTGTTTTGAAATTTTGGTTTTTAACTTGTTTGTGTCCTGTGTAGAAAAATAGAAGTAGCTCAAAGTTCTCTCTACAGAGTTGGGTTGGGGGGTTTTCTGGAAAAAATGCTTCTAACCATTCGAGTAGTCGGACCTCTACAAGTGAAAGCAGTGGATATTCTCGGGACAAGCGCAGATCCCAGCCTCCAAAGATACCGGGAAACTATGGTGTATATAGCCGG